GAAAGGTTCATTTCACACCTTAACCCTAAATTAAAAATAATACCTCAGTACACTTATCTATTCAAAAGTTTACTTTGCATTGATTAATGGATAAAGTGAAATGGTTATAAATCATGCTAATACCGTGCTGAGTTAATTCAACGTTAAATTAATTCCATAATCTGACGATTGATTTCTTTATAACGCTAGTCTAAAACGGAGCTCATATGTTTAAAATAGTTTGACCACAACAAACCAAGCACTTTCCGACGGAAGTAATCCCATCAAATAGTGCCACCTATAGCAATTTTGTTGAATGTACATAAATCTGCAAATTTGTCGCCATTCTCGTTAGTTTCTCTCAGTCTCGTCCCATGATATCATGATACCCGGTGTTGTCCATTCCGACTTTGGCATTTAGGTTTCCCATCAGCATGGTCAAGCCCTATCCTTAGCACTTCGCTATGACTGATTGCAGCCTCTGATAAAACTGATCTCTATTATCGTCATTGATATTATTGGTGGATACATAACATAGGATAACATCCATTGTAACTTCCTCCTGCTTTGTTTTAAAGGATGCCTTGATGATTCTGGGTCCTTGAGATTCACATCTTATGGGTGTTTCCCGTGCTTCTTTGAACAGCATCAGAGCAACTCCCTGAGTTTGTGGTTCGTTTTCTTCTTCGTGACCAGCGTACAGCAGCATCTTCCCTGAATCTATCCTTTTCTGTGCAGCTTGAGTTCAGTGGATTTCGATGATCCCGAGTACCGCCAAGTTGTATCTCTTCATTTCCTCAGCAATTTGATTAGTTCGCTTAGTCTGCGATAATATTATTTGTTGCTCTGTTTGTTAGAAAGGTAATCGGCCTCGTGATTTTCGAAGAATCTCGACCTTCACCTTGAGGCGTTATAGCTCTTACAAACGAAAATGCTTCAACTCGCAAGACTGATTTCAAATGGTCAATTGTTTTCATCTGGTTGGCGTTTTTTCAGCAAGGCTGCGTTTCTTTAAGATGAAGTCGCTAACTCGATGACCCAACTTCCTCCCTTCCCTGAGTTTGGGATCAGCGTTAACCCTGGAAAGTCTGCAGGCGAAGTTTTTAGCGGACCAATAAAAATATTAGAATATCTCAACACAGTTGATACTCTAAAACGTATAGGAAGAATGCGTGGGTAGAACATGGAAACAGATATATAAAAAATATATCAGTTGGTTGTTGTGGTCAGAAGGGTGCGGGTTATTAGGTCAAATATATATCTATACTTATGACGGAAGAAGAATGGTTCCAAGGAATCTGATATACGGAATCAAATTTTCCCTGTGTAATTGACAAAAAATATACTGCATAACGAGCTGAAGTATGTGCAACATGATCATTAGTAAACAGTCAGATAACTTTGGTCAACTAAGTTACCAAGAGGTGTGTAAGTGATCCTGTGTATGTGGTCAAGAGTAATCAGCATAACATGGGCATAATGTGCAGGAATAACAGAAGTCAACTAAGATGGAATGCTCTAAAGAAAGTAGTTATCAATTAGATTAAGTAGAATTATGAAAAACAATAAATGACAGCAAAAACTGTCGACAAATTAAGCGTATCTTAACCATGCTTATAGGTTTCTCAAGCGTCGAAAAGTTTTGAATTTCAGTCAACGAGTACTCTTTTCTTAAATTTAAACTCAGATCATAAAAACAAACAAGAAAGTTCGATCTTGTGAAGTGTTTTTATGCACTAACGGCTTTCAGAGTTAAACCTTCAAAAGCCGCTGAGTATGTTTTGTTAGCAGCCGTGGTCTTTTCATCTATTGTGCATGTAAGCGGTTAAACTTTTGTCTCATCATCATTTTTCGCATCAAGATCATTCTGACAGTTTACCAACGGCTTATTTCTTTTTGATCCTGTGTTTCGATCCATTTTCTAGTCTCTAAGAATTACGGATATATTCGATTGTATTTACACTTTTCCAAGGACAAGCTAAAGAAACCCAAAACGGTTGGCTTTCACTCAAATTCTTACTAAACGTTTTTAAAGAGATTTGTCTTCACCTCCGAATTATCGGATCAGTCAAGTTCAAAGGGATTCCTGATGAGACTATAATTTGTGGACGACATTTGAGCGACTCTAGAGTCACCCCGAGAGCGTCAACATAATAACTAGGACGACATAAGGGTTATAAACCTGTGTAAGAAGTTCGAATTTCGATTCACAGCTCGTGGTGAAGGTTAGGAATTATACTTAGGGTTTTCATCACGAACTTATTTATTTATTCAAACACAAATATTGGTACAAGGGGGCATCACATTTATATGCCCCACACAAATCTCATTTGATTTGTATAAGGACTGTAATACTGCCCAGGTGTCCAAACTGAAGCAGGTGGTTTTCTTAGGGGGACACACCCCAAGCCTTTGACCTAAAGGTCTGATCCTTAGGGCAGTGGAGCAACGTTAGGAGGTGCGGTCTCACGATTGATTCATACGCCATTTGTTCCCTCAGGATACTGGAGCTCATGTGCACCATTGGTTTGGAATGAGGGTTTTCCGACTCCCCTAGGTGGACAGGTCGTGTCCACCAACCCTGTTAAAGTGCCGGACATTCGCCTTTCGTCCTTTCAATTTCGTGAACAACACCCCTGGTGCGAGAAGGCACTGAGTATGACTTCTCTGGCGAAGGCTATATATGCGTAGCCATGTGAGAGCATTTTGAGAGGGAGAGCGAACTCTCTCCACTCTCGGCCGTACCAGGGCATTTGGGGGCAAATTAGTTAGGCGAGTGAGAGGGACATGTTGAAGAGCGTCGCGAGCGGTCTTGAAATAATGTCCGCAAGCGATGACAGCAAACGTGGATGCAACCCATCGGGGCCCGGTATCTTACTAGGTTTGAGGTTAGTTATCAATGGAAGAATAATTTTCTCAGTTACGTGTATAGATCCTATGGTTGATGTCTCGTTGTAAATGGGACAAGTAGTTGTAACATTACACGTAGACTTCACTAAAATAGTTTGCAAATGTCTCAGCTTTTGCTAGACCAGATTCGGCCAATAAGTTTGAATTTTTGCTTAACAGTAATGAGGGGATACCACACCCCGAGCGTTTGACCTAGAGGTCTGATCCACAAGTCAGTGGAGCATCGTGAGGAGATGCAGTTCCATGGTAGCCGGTGACCAAAAATTGGTTCATGCGCCATTTGTTCCTTCAGGATACGGGAGCCCATGTGCACCATTGGTTTGGAATCAGGGTCTTCCAACTCCCCTAGATGGATCCTTCATATCCACCAACCCGGTTAAAGCGCCGGACATTCGCTTTTCGTCCTCTCACTTTTGTGAACAACACTCCCGCCACGAGAAGGCAGTGAGTAGGACTTCCCTGGCAGGGGCTATATACGCGTGGCCATGTGAGAGTATTTGGAGATGGAGAGCGGACTCTTCCCACTCTCGGCCGTACCAGGGCATTTGGGGACAATTATATTCTCGCTCATACTAGAAGCAAGACAATTTACATTATTATTATTATTATTATTATTATTATTATTATTATTATTATTATTATTATTATTTACCATATCGCTTTGGCGCCTTCGTGATGTTAGTCTGGCTGTATAAGGTCGGATTTACAACGCGTCGGTGAGAGCAGTTTTGCTCTATGCTTGTGAAACCTGGCCTCTCCGAGTTGAGGATGTTAGACGTCTCTCTGTGTTCGATCATCGTTGTCTCCGAAGGATTGCTGACATCCAGTGGCAACACCATGTTAGTAATGCAGAGGTTCGGCTTCGTGTGTTCGGGCGCAGAGACGATAATTCAATTGGTGTCACCATCTTGAAACACCGACTTCGTTGGCTTGGACATGTTTTACGAATGTCGTCCCAGAGACTTCCACGTCGTGCATTATTTGCCGACTCTGGGACTGGTTGGAAAAAGCGGGGAGGTGGTTAATGTATGACATGGTGTCGTGGTATGAAAGAAAGCTGCAAAGGGCTAGCTTCTGTTGGTCCTTCACGACTCCCTGGCTGGGGTCCGAGAGATGGTGCAACACAGTGGCTAGAGACGTTATCAGATGTGGCTCAGAATAGAAGCCAGTGGCGATCCTGCTGCAACCTTCTTTTACTTTCTACATAAAGAGTGGCTATAACTTTCCTAACTGAGAGAGCTCTTCTGGTTGTACATTTCAGTTCCCCCCATCATTACTCTTCTCCTCTTCTTTTTTACCTTCTTTTATATATACACATCTTCCTTCTCCGCCCATTCTAATAATTTGTGTGGCGCATATGTATCCGGTGCCCTTTGTACCAATATATATGTGATTAAATAAAATAAAATAAATAATTATTCTATGTAGTGTCTTTGTTTCCACTTATGTTAAAGTTTTGAGTTGAACATTGCATGTATAAACATCGGCTTAAATTTTTCAACAATGTGCTGCTTTAACCTTCTTATTCATCAATTTATCGTTTGATCTTAGAAATTGTGACTTTTATCCTCCACCTTAACTTCCAGAATCATTTTGCTCGTGTGCTTTACTTAAAAATGTCTGCATTGACTGCGACAGATTTATGGGGTGCTTGGTTTAATAAACGAGGCAGAACAAATTACTATTACGGTCAAAATACCATAAGATTGCATGGTTCATATTATTATTGATTATTGGAAACAATTTACTCGTCAACCATAGAAACCAGTTACAAGAGCACTGCATCTATATTTGGAATCAAAATCAAACCTAATTATAACTGTTCTGCTTATTAAAATTAAGTGAAAATATTAGTGTTTGATTTCCAAATCCCAATTGCTCACTAGCTATAAGGTGCAATTTTACTTGTTTGCTTAAGTTATCCATGCAACGATGTATAATAAAATGTCATTGTACTTTTATGGGAAACATTGCTAAATGTACTTGTTCTTCGGAATGTTTATTCCTGGAACTTTTCCCGGGATATTTTAACTTTTTTGGAGTGAAGACATCATCACATTATCCTCTTTTATTTCAGATGCTTCCAATTCTTATGTGTCCACCGGATAGCTATGATTCGTCTACTCTGTGCAATAGCGTTTGCCGTGTCATGCGTGATCTTCCCAACCTACTCGGCGACATCTGAAGCCAATTTGGATGAACCATATAATGGTGAAATTTTACAGGATCAAAAAATGGAATATCAGTTTACTCTTGCAAATCGTAGCGTATGATATACATTGTTTTACAATTATTTCCCTCTTTTTATTTAACATAATTTTAATAGGAATTTGTTATTCGAGTACATGTAGTAAATTACAACCCGAAACCAGATTATCCTATTTTAGTGGTGATCAAGCAAGTGGACAATGTGATGTCATTCCAAGCACCAATGGTTCTTAATCCTATGTAAGTTTTGTCCCTTCTTACACTTATTCCTTCTGTTTAATACATAAAAATAGATCAGCATATGGTAACGTTAGTCGTACGCTGTGTCCAATCAAATTATTGCCTGGAGAGGTTCGAAAACTTACAATAGAGTTGTCTAATGCTATCAAACCACCTCAAAAAGTGCGTTACATGTTGCTGGCTCAGTTAGTTCCTGATTTCGATTTGGAGTATGTCAAGTTACGCATATGGCGAACCTATATTTAATTTTAGGTCGGGCATTGAGAGAAGTATAGTAGTCTCACCTGCTGAACCTATCTATTTAAGATACCTTTATCCTCCACAAAAAAAATCAGCAGAAATTAAGGTTGTTTCGAAAAGTGATATATGCATGATTTTGTCTATCCAAAAATTGCAGGTAGGTTTTCTTTTTAATCTGAGATAAGTTTATTCTACAAAAAATTTCAGTGTCCTGTCAATGATTTATCCGATACAGTGGGAAACACTGGGTTACATCAGACGGTCACTACTTTGGGTGCAATATCCATTGACGTAAGTAGTGCATTTTAATTCCTTACAACTCGTTAAATAATTATATCTAGGTGACTCAATTTCTCAAAGGATTTTTCCTCGTTCTAGTCTTGAAACCAACAGACTATGCTTGTTCCGGCATCGAAGATCTAATTCCACCATTACCAGGTAATGTGCACCATAGATTTCATCTTCTAATTACAAAAATATTTCAAAAAGGCAACAAAATATATGTAGAGTTGATTGGTTCGTAACATACCTCGCCAAGCTGCTCGGAACTCTGTGTGTTCGATAAAGTATTAACTATACCTTCGTAGTTGAAAAACTGTCTTACAAGCAATTCTTAATTTCGACGCAGGAATTTAAGTAAGGTGGATCATAAACAAACTGGTAAGGTTGAATAGTTAGGATAACGTTCGATCATGACCACGCATCAATTGCTGCGGTTAGTAGTAATTATTGAAGAAAATAAGTAACTAGAACGAAACCTGTCGTGATGATTCTGTTACATTTACTGAGTGGTTCTTTCCTGGATCTGAAATGTTTGTTAATTATTATCATAAGCCGAGTTTCTTGATCTCATACTATTTTCTCTATTGTTTTTATTATCTGTCTCCCTTTCTTGATGTAGCGCTTTAGATCGGTAAACTATTGTTAGATTTATCTATTTTGTTACCAGAGTGAAAGTTTTTCGGGTTTGTGCATATAAACATGTAAAAACAATGAACACCATCGTTTTTATGCATCTTCAATATAATTGTTATGATATTTGACTTTCAACCACTAGGTCTTAGATTCTCAACTTGATGCATTTTGGTTAGTAAGTTATATTCAGAATTTTATATTGAACTTCCTAAAAATTACTAAATGAGGGATATATCGAGCCAAATAAATCAGAAAAATTTCCGTTTATGGTGTTCTATTATTTACTGTTTGTACCATGAGCTTAAAGGCTCATTACCAGTTTCATATAATTCATTACCGAAGCGATTGACATATGTGACGTTTATAAATGTACTGTCTGTTAGCGCCAATCGATAAAATGACAAGTAGAAGCCAAAAAACTTTTAATGGTTTTTCATAGAAATCTGTAAACTGTCTGTAATACCTAGGGCTAGTTACATGAAATTTCTGCTTAAACTAAAGCGATTTGTTATTGTAAATTATCATTCACTGCAGTATACAAACTAAACATCACTAAACCTGAAGAACTAGTTATATTCATTTATTTTGCTATACCCCATAGCTAAAAAGTGATACAAGATTTTAGCTAGAATGAAACACTGACTAAAACAATGAAAAACCCACGAAGGATTTTCTTGTCTTTTCTAACAAACAAATCTCCATTACGTCTGGAGTATAAAATTTAATGGTTCTCATTTTCTAACTTTAATCAAAGAGTGTACTGTACTATTCTTTTACAATAAAAGGAATATTTAACGCAATCAAGTCTTTGTTATTACTGGTTTCAAATGAATAAATTCAGAGGCAATAATTCTGTTGAATTTTTTGGTGAAATTACCATTCATGCTTTTATTTGTATACAGCACCCTTCACAATAAGAGCTTCTAACCTTTTGATCCAACCACCCAACGAAAGGCATATATATTTATATATGTTAGATGGCTGAAAGCGATAGGCAGAGAGCTTTGAGTTTTCAGGCTGTTCGTCGCACGTTAGCGAGATTTACTCATACTCTTGTAGGAACTGGTATCCCCTTCAATACCCCACCTAGCATCACCAAAAGTTATTCAGCGGTCTGAATAGCTCAATGATAACGTCTCCAACGGTACTATAGGAGACCTAAGTTTGATATTCACATGAAGCATCACTTTTTAGAAACTTTTGTTTAGTACCATATATATATATATATATATATATATATATATATATATATATATATATATATATAGAAGATAAACGTTTACATGATCTATCTTCTTGTCCTCACACCGTGGTTCGTTACATTGTCTGGTTATTCATATGAAAATAAGTTCTAAACTAAGTTGTAGTTTTTTTAAATGTACATTACATCCAGTTCATAAAGGAAAACTAGTCAATATTTAAAAGTATTCCTTTCCATATTTAGAAAATGTTATCACAATCTGATAGACTATTTTAGATCCTGTGAAGTATCATTCAGCCATAATTATATATGAATACGTTTATAAAAATAGTTCAGCAGTCTAAACATTACAGCAATTATAATCAACCATACAGTAATCAGCTAATTTATTATACGATGCAAAATCACTCACTGCATTTGTAAAATACGAAAACAGTACATTGAAATACCATTTGCCCATCTTTCTTGGATTATCTCTTAAAGGCTCAATTGTTCTTTCATTCCTGTTGCTACTATGACTGCTTGTGTTGTGTGTCTCTCCTTATTTTCCTCTTCTGTCAGTAAGAATTCTACTTTCAATTCCTGATACTACTACTTATATTTGTTCGTTTAAATAGCACATATAACAATAGTATCATAGGTTGAAATTGATTGCGGCTTTTGGGAGCTCATTATCATCTGTAAACATAATCGACTGAATATGGTTCACAGTCTCATATATACTATTTTTATGCATTTAATCAATGATGCTGCTACTATTTACTTTCACTGTCGATTTTGGATCAGTAAGCCTTATTTAGACTTATGGAATTGTTTATTAGCTGCCAAGAGTTTTCAGTGTTTATATATTGTACGATAAGGCAAGGGTGATATGTCTTGTGGGTTGAACGCTTATTCAGATCCTAAGCTATTCGGACAACCCCAGGCTAGCACTACTCAGCAACTTGAAGACCAGAGAGAAGACACGAGTAGCGAGAAGATGCTTTATTGCAAGGTTCAGTTTTGTACAGAAAAATCGTAAGTATTTATAGATGTTTGCTTAAGTTAAATCAACATCCTAATTCAGCCAATCCAATAAACGACATATATTGCTACTGACCAATGGTAGCATGCCACGTTGGAACTCCAGAATGTTCTGTCGTGCTCTGATTGGTTGGAGCTCTTTTTGAGCCTCTGGAGGCTCTGTTGGGGTTCTCTGGAAACCGACTTAACACCTCCCCTTTTTTGAAGAAGCGGGGTAGGTATCCAGACTGCATTTGCTGACTTCAACCTCCCCCACGAAACAATGTTGGGTCCCCAACTTTCGATATAGTGCCGTTGTTGCAGATTGAATTTATGGGACGATCTAATAATTTCAGCTTTTCTATCCAATCAAGTCCCAATAAGTCGAGTGCTGGTCGTTCTGTTAAAAATATTACTCCCTTCTTTGTAAGCTCTGCGACTGTGATTTTACAGTGAACCTCACCAGCAATGTTTATAATCCCCCCCAGATGCGCCGTGTGCTGTCTGATAGGTTGAAAATATTCTCGGCCTCCCAATTTTCTCCCACGTCCTCCTGCTTATAAGCGTTATATCGGAGGCTGTGTCTAGCTGTAAGCGGGCATCGTACCCGTTAATCTTGAGGGAAACATACTTTCTACGATTATGGGAGCCGATTCTGTTAGCAGCTACCGTCACCTTGGCTGTCCGTGGCTTGAATCCTTTAGAATAAACTTTAGGTTGACGACGTTTACGGGTTTTGCAATGACTTTCTTTGTGTCCTTTCCTGGAACACGTAGTACAACGATGACTTTTAAACGGACAAAACCTTTTGAAATGCCAACCTCCGCATAACCAGCATGGGGATGATGGTTTACCGCAGTCATTTCGATAATTCTGTGTACTGGAACCTTGCTCGATTTTCCTCTCAACAGCATTAACGTGGAGGAACTGGTTAGTGTTTTCTACCATCGAGGTATCGTGCTTCAAATTCACTAACCTTTGACATTCATTAGTCACTTCCTGCAGGGTCATGTTGGGACAATGCTCAAGTTTGCTTAGGATTCTCGTCCGGATGTCAGCATCCTCAGGTGAACGCAGGCTACAGACAAATACTAAGCATTTAAACTGGTCTTCAGACATGGAAGACAAATTGAACCTCTCGCATTCTCGGTTCACAATACCTGCATGTTTCACCCAGTCATCTCCTGATTCTTTCGTTATCTTCAAGCACTGGTAACGGATATTAAATAGAGACGACTGTTCTCCAAAGATTTGAGACAGGGTTTGAATTGTTTCATCAAAACTAAAGTCTCGTGGGTTCTTCGGGAGAATAAAGTTACTATAGCGTTCATGTTCTGTTGTCCCAAGCTTTCTTAGAAGTATTCTGACTTTTGAAGCGTCATCCAGTCTGCAGAGATCAATATGAAACAAATCTTCATACTTCTTAAATCAAGAGTTAAAAGTGACACCTGCTGCACCATCAAAATTAAATTCATGGATTGCGTTAATAACTGAGTCGGTATGAGATACTTGAAATTCACCAGCAGCAGAGTTTTGTTGGGACATACATAATTTCTGCATAAGAGCTTCCATGACTCTAATTTGAGACTGTTCAAACCGTTTTTCTTGACGCTCCATATAAGCTTCAAATTGCTCTAAAAAAAATACTCATTGTCATTTTTTTCTCGTCGCCAGTGATATGTCTTGTAGTTTTTCCCCGTCGCCACTGATATGTCTTGTGGGTTGAACGCTTATTCAGATCCTAAGCTATTCGGACAACCCTAGGCTAGCACTACTCAGCAACTTGAAGACCAGAGAGAAGACACGAGTAGCGAGAAGATGCTTTATTGCAAGGTTCAGTTTTGTACAGAAAAATCGTAAGTATTTATAGATGTTTGCTTAAGTTAAATCAACATCCTAATTCAGCCAATCCAATAAACGACATATATTGCTACTGACCAATGGTAGCATGCCACGTTGGAACTCCAGAATGTTCTGTCGTGCTCTGATTGGTTGGAGCTCTTTTTGAGCCTCTGGAGGCTCTGTTGGGGTTCTCTGGAAACCGACTTAACAAAGGGGTTCTTGTCAATTAGGGATTTTATTTCATAAAAAACAATCTAATACATTGTTATTGTATTAAGTTGTTCTTTGTAGTCATAAATGTTTTCATCAATGTCTCTCTCCCTCTACTTCTTCCTAGATCAGGGCTTATTTTCGCATGAACCACAGATAAATCTTCCAGGATCTCGAAGTAAATCTGTTAAAATACTAATTAATTCAACACACAGGAGTAAGTTTATTTATTCTGGTTGCTCTCATCTTTCCCTAATGAATATTTTTCCCGGTAGATTAGTACTGATATTAAAAACTGATATTGAAACTTGAGGCATCATAAGCAGGTTTAACATGTTTCGGCCTTCGAATTATTTGATATGCAGTTGCACGAACGCAGATTACAAATAGTCATCAATAGATACTTGATTTTTCCTCAAATAGTGAAATTTAGTCTATAAGTTTAATTCCTATTCTTGTATTTAGTTCTGTCCTCAAGTTGCAACATTTTTCGAGACAGTCGTTGGACTGAATTAATTTCAACAAACGATACGATTGTTTAGACGAAAGCAAACAGATGATTTCACAGCATGTAGTATTTTTTTATATTTAGAATCAGGGATAAGGTCTTGGTAAAAGAGGTTTAACTACTAAGTTTACAATCAGATCAATCCGTTGTAACTCTGTAATTAGAGCTTAGTATGTACTTAAAGAAATTTTAATAATAGCATTCAATTTCTCCTATCATAGAACATTCTCGATTTTAAGAATGCACAGTTTAACTTCTGGTAAAGCAACATAATGCTAAATATTGGTTGTCTACAGAAAATATGTTGCTACCATTACATATAAGATGCATGACGTCTTTTTACCATAACCAGTGAGGGCGAGAGTGTTCTTATATTGAAGCAGTTACCACTGTCAAGTTAACTGATCTCCAATCTACAGTTGTATCACAAGATGTTTTACAGAAATGCTCTTCTCAATGAATCAGTCCCTTCTTCTAGTCAATAAATCTGAAAACAGTATTCTTCCAGCTTTACTGTAAAAATTATCTCAACTATTCTTAAACTCATGCCTGTTTTATAGTTATTGTAATTTTCATCTTAGTTCCCTACGTAAAACTAATTTGTATATTTTGAAGGATGGCCGTATTTATTACCCATACTTGGAGCTGTCGGTACTTACTTACTTTTCTACGTGGTTACAATTATTATCATATTACTGTATCACAGAGCGTAAGTCGTAATGATTTCATACAAAAAACTTCTATGCATAACATCAAGTTACACATTGTCAATTTATATTTTTCAATTTTTAGCTATTATCCACACCTTTACATTTTACTGTGTATTTTGTCAAGTTTAGTAATGCAATATTAAAAATAAGCATTATTTCTCAGGATATGTCATCTTCAAGTAATAACAATAACTATTGAATAGACTGAATCACTTATTCCTTTGATTACAAAACTATTTTTCATTAGTGTAATATTCATTATTTTTAGCTAGACATTAATCTTTTCATTCCTTCGTTGTACTGTTTTGCGTTACATGCTTCATAATATGAATCATTTCCCAAATGATAGAAACAAAATTAATTCACTTTTCTTTCATTTAGTTCTCAGCTAATCCAGAGATAAAAGACAACTGTTAACTAAGAGATTTATTACGATCACAAGCAAATGATCGATGTGGTCATTCGTTCATTGTATTTAAATTTATGAACACAATTTCATTAAAATCAACGTAACTGAGATGCATTAGACTAGGATAAGTTGTTATTGATCAACGAAATGTCATTTTATTAAGTAATCATAGGAATTGTACAACCTTTAATCCCAGTCTTTAATTGTTTTATTTTGATTCATATTACTCTCTGGTTGTTCTTGGTGGATCGGTATCTGAAATGTAGTCCGTTTTCATGTGTGTATATTAAACCTTAAAGGTGGGACATAATGATTAAAGCAACAGAAAAACACTCAACTCTAATTTTTGCGAAATACGTCCTTTATCGTGAGCCTTTATAACTTGACTAGGTTCTTTCCATAGAAATAAGTAAACTATTGATTATTTAATTAGTCTTATGTTGTATAATGTGATTAAATTATTAATTTTCATATTATATCGTTCTTAAATATCTTATTTTCAATGTATTATTATTATCATTAATGGCCTTATTCAATACTATAATCTGGTACAATATAGAATTCTTAGCACGAGTTATTTCAACAAGTTTTTCACCAACAAAAACAAACAAAACAGAAAAGGAATAGAAAAAAGGTTTAAGAAAATCTGAGTTTATACAAATTATCGAATTTGAGACATGCTTAAGAATACAGGTTATTTACTAGGTCAACTCTAACAGCCTGTTCGTCACAGAGTAGATTTGCTAGGTAAGGTATTACAGAACTTTTATAGACTTGTTTGCGTGTATGGATTTTAATGTATTTACGTCTCGTTCTACCAGAAGATATACAAAGAGTAAGATATGAATGAAGTGGATGTTTAGTATCTGATAAGATAACATCTGCCAATGTATTAGCATTATTTGATACTGTTTCACTTTGAAAAATTATCATATATTGTGTTTTAGAACAACATATATAAGTGAACAATATTGTTTTCAATTAGATCCTCATCAGGCTTTACTCTAATATACAGTAATATTTATAGGCATATACAAAATTATTAAACCAATCAAGGCAGTTTATGAGTCGATAATAACAGTGGAATAGATTACATAACTAAAAATAGTAAGTGAAAAGTACAAATTAGTAGTGTAATGACAGGTGTACTAGTTGTGATAAGAATAATAAAGGCTTGAATCAATGTTACATAATGGGAAATAGGTCAATGATTAGAAAAAATATAGACACTGAAATAACATTCATAAAAATTATAAGATTACGTAATAAGAAGTGTTCACATAATTGGACCATGAAGTGAATATTTGAAAAAAATAAATAAACTGCCTTGATTGGTTTAATAATTTTGTATATGCTTATAAATATTACTGTATATTAGAGTAAAGCCTGATGAGGATCTAATCGAAAACAATATTGTTCGCTTATATATGTTACTGTTTTACTTGTTTGACGTTGATAATATATGCATTAGGTTGTGTAGCTTGGAAACTTTACTTATACGTAATTCAGTTTGAATAGGTGAAATGAGTAGTATCACTCAATCTCTAAATCAGTTAATGTCTCTCAAAGCAAAATAAACAAAACACTAACTAATCAGTAAGTTCCCTTTAAAATATATACAAACTAGCTTATGTTGTTTCTGTGAAAGTTAATCTTCTTATATGAAAAGTTTAAGATTAAATTCTTTATATCCATATATTTATTGTAGCTTTTGGCTATTTTAATTTTGATTTTTCTACTCTTAGAGAAAGAAGAAAAAGATTTCTTGATGGTACGTTTAAAAATAATATTCATTTTTCAATAGAAACGCTTGCAACATTATTATGCTTATAATTTTTATTTTCTATGATTATAATTTAGTGCATGTAATTTATAACAAATCATTAGTTACTATGAATAAACTTTTGATTAAAAAAATAAACAAACTTCAAGCGATTTACTTTTGAAGTTACTAGTGTAGTTAAATACCTTGTATATATTCAGCTTCGATCCATATTGTGTAGATGAATTGTTCTGTCTTTTGCCTCTGTCAATTATCACATGACAAGATCATCATTCAGAATACAGATTTATATGATTCATTTAAAATGTTTTTCTGATTTTTATAAGAGATTTCATCAAAAAATATGTGAATCATTTATTTAAACACATAAATTTTGGTACAAGACGGCACCAGATATATGTGCACTGCACAAATCTCATTTTATTAGTGTGACGGCTGTGATACTGCCTAGATGCCCAAACTGAAGCAAGTGGTTTTCTTAAGGGACCACACCCCGAGCCTTCGACCTAAAGGTCTAATCCACAAGGCAGTGAAGCATCGTAAGGAGATGCAGTCCCATGGTAGCCGGTGACCAAAAATTGGTTCATACGCCATTTGTTCCCTTAGGATAATGGATCTGATATACACCATTGGTTTGGAATCAGGGTTTTCCAACTTCCCTAGGTGGACCCTTCGTATCCCCCAACCCGGTTAAAGTGCCGGACATTCGCCTTCCGTCTTCTTGATTTCGTAAGCGACGCCCCAGCCACGAGAAGATAGTGAGTAGGACTTCCCTGACACAGGCTATATACGCGCGGCCTTGTGAAAGCTTTTCGAGAGGGAGAGCTGACTCTCCCCACTCTCGGCCGTACCAGGGCATTTGGGGGCATGTGAATCATTACGACAAACTATATCTGCTAAAATAACATGATAAATCTGATAAAAAACTTTTGTCTCACTGTGACTTTGAGTTTCATTTGATACACTTGTATTCGTTATGTTGCTCCATTTATTTTCTGAATATGGGTCTCTTCAAGTTTCTCGACAAACATCACGTGAAACATAAGTTTGTTCTGACTGGAGCTTAGTTTTAGAGTTATGCGAGGCCAATAGGGCTGCATTTAATTCTGTACTCAGAGCATCATTTACGGAATCTTCTGTTTCTTTGTCCTCCGGTACTGCTACAATTTCATGTGCATTTAACACAAATTCGCCTTACTGTGAGCTGGGCAATTCACTAATTGTGCATTCTGCTACGGGCGTAAACGGATTTGAACCCATTTTTTGAAATAGCCATTACTGGATCACTGGATAATACATTTAATTTAAATCGTTCTGCTTGTGAATTTACTCTACCGGCGTATGTAATGTAGTCTTCGTCAGCTTCTTTAGTCAACCGGATACGAAATGGTGACATCTATTCACAAAACATTTTATTTAAAATGTTAACAGTTTCATTAAAATCGACTTTTCGTGGATGTCTAGGCAGGATATGATTTTTATACTTTGGATGCTCATTAAGACTAAGTTTAGATAACAGCAACGGGACTTCCTTCCTGTCGTCCATAGCGGCAAATTATACTAAGAAAATATCTCTATTCTACCAAACCATGCTTCAATAGTATGACCACGTTCTACATCAAAAATAAATTCTGGGATTGTCTTTCAAAAGTATTAGTGTAATTTAATGATATAATGTGAATTTATCTCATGGTCCGTGGGCTGTATGCAAGATATATAGTTTCATTTCGACTAATTGTCTTATATTTGTGGTTAAGTTGATTTCAGATAACCAGGGTAGACCTACAACTCCATAATAACGTTTTGATAATTTGTTTGACGTTTTTCTTTTACAATTGAAAATCCCAGTTTTTTAATACTTTCTTTTGTATGTATGCCGTGATCAAGTACTTAACAATAGTGAATTTTCGTTTCTTACTTCAATATTGTGACCATGTTTAAACTTGTGAAAACCTAGTCTAACACGTTCGATTTGATTAAACCTAAAAATTTAAACGAATTTACATTGGGATGCATATATATCAATTAGTCAAACTCTTAATCTATGCGACAGTACATACTATATTGCTTCTTCTTGTAATCGTGATTCTTTGTACTATAAGAATAAGAGGTGTTAGATGAAACTTAAGTCTCCCAACCCCACATAATCGTTATACGACTTCAGAAAGACAGCTTGTATGATAAATAAAAATGTCTGCTAAACACCAGAAGTTATGGACGTCTACAAGCGTACCCGCTTGTCGTTAGATGATTAGAAACAACCGATAGAAAATTAGGAAGTTAGGTTTCATGCTACTCAGTATCTATTTGTCTTGAGGGAACTAATTTTTGTTGTGTTGTTTTGAACCCGTTCCTCACGTTTTCACAGTCACGGACGTGTTAATACTGAGCTATTTGCGCCGTAACGGATCTGTAGGGTTGGGATTTCAAGGCATAGTAAACGCGATGTTCTGTCATTTAGACTCGTAGCCCTATAGCAACTTGATTGGTAGAATTCAACCAAGAATATAGGTTTTAACAAACATAATGACGTTGGTCACTATTTAATAATCAGATAGTATAATCATTTTACTCAACTGACAGCCAATCAGGTCTGATCGAGATCTAACTCAATAGTGGTAGTAGTATATCAACAGTAATGCGCTGTTAAAAATACCGTCATCTTTGTGTTTGTCGTTAATGGGTTATCATCCAATCCTACTAGACACTTCCCATTAGCATTTACTCTCTTTCTGTATAAAATAATATGAAATAATGGAGGTTCTCACACCTTAAAATCATCAGCATACCTCTTTTGTTTTGGTATATTTCCGTATTTTCACCTTTATACATATTTTCGTAAATGCATAAGTATTGACCATTCCTGCATAATCTATCAGAAGACACTTGTATGGTTGTAAGGACTTGAGGAACGAAATAAATTTACAGTTGATTGTTTTTCAGGTTTATAAAAAATAAAGAAAATGTATTTCTTTTTTGTCAAAATGTTTGCTTATGCATTCCTGGTGTAATGTCAAGCTAATATTTAGTCTACCGTTTTTAATTTTATTGTTGTGTTCAACTATTTTAATTACATCGGAATAGCAATTGTTAGATGTGATCTCTCCAAAACTCTTCTCATCAACCAATATTATTGCCTGGAAACATCCTCCATATTTGTATATCACTAGTCAAGTCAGTAAGAATAAATTTAAAGGTTTAGGGTCTATTACTCTTTCGTTTAATGAAGAATGTTGGTTTATCTCATTCCATATCTGGTTTAGCTACAGGGAATTAAGTGTTTCAGTGAGTTGAGGCATGTATTTTCCTAGATAATTGTTTTGTCCGTTTGAGCCATTTACCTTTAAAATCTCATTACCACTAAATTATATAAAATCATATGAAAAATATGATTGTTAGAAGTCTGACAGTATGTGACTACTTGTACTATGATATAACTTTTTTTCAATCAAAAAGTGACCCTTCATTAGGTGTTAAGACATAGACATACCTACCGACTCCTTAATATAGGGGTATTTCTTGACTTGAAAGCAGAACTCATTTTCATCGAACGACAAGTTTCTATCAGTAAGTGGGGTGCCAAACAAGTGCGTGAACTCAAATACTATTATTCGACTCAGAGCTTATAGCGTACTGCCATCAGAGCTGATTATATAAATTAGTGTTCGCAAGGATTTCTCATTTTCCTGGATATAACTAACTTGGTCATAGACTTTCTTTTAGAGATAATACTCTCCTCTAAATTTTCGAGAATAAATCTCGTACCGGGAGATTTACTTGTTGATTGATGATAAGTCGATGATATGGTCCTGTTCAGTGAAGACTCTCACAAAATTCAGAGCCTTCTGATTACCTTGATAAAAAATGCTTCAATGTTTAAGACACGTTTCTCTATCTCTAAATGAAAAACAGTGCTTAGGGACTGGTCTGTGTCAACGCCTAAGATGATTATAGGGGCTGAACTATTTGAGTGTGCTTATTATTTCACCTATCTTGGAAGTTTCATTAATCCTGGTGGGTTGATGTCTGACAAAATCTCAGAATGGATTCCGAAAACTAATTTTGCTTTTGTCAAACTACGTCACTTGTGACTAAGACAAGATATCTGTCTCTCAACGAAGGGACGAGTATACCACACAACACTATTTTGTTCAGGTTTATGGCTGTGAAACGTAGTCTTTGAAAATTAGCGGATATTCGTGGAATACTATTGTTTTTCCATAGATGCCTTCGAAACATTATTCTCATCCGTTTGGAACACTGAGTGACCGATTCTGTGGTTAGACTCAACTTACTAGTTCAAGATGGCAAGTAAGTTGGTCTGATATTGAACCTTCTTTAACCAAAGTGGCTGGGATGTATTACTTGTGCCCAACCACCACCTACCTCAATGTGCAATGAAGGTTGGTATAGTAGTAGTTTGGAAAAAAGTTGAAGGTAGCTAAATCAAAACATAGAATTAGTTCACGAAGTCATTGACTGTTAATAAGTTCAAAGTATCTGTTTGGGGTCCGCATGATTATTACAATTGATGTTTAGAGACGTTTCATAACATGGATGGAAGTCTATCACAATGGCTTAGTTGCATTCACTATTTATCTCCTTTAGATCTCGAATTTCAGAACTATTTTATCTTTTATTCCAGAAATCGCTGAAGTCATCATGGTACCCAATCTTTTGACAGTCGCATATAATACGATTACGATTTGATAATCTCATCTTGTGTTAACTTGATGTGACAATTTAGACCAGTTCACACATGTGCCATTTTCTACGTTACTAATGGTTGACTAACTTTTTGTGTAATGAAATCATATACTTTTGAGTATTTGTTTATCATAGGTTCATCTATTACTTGTTTATTCATTAGTATACATTATTATCCTTTTTGTTTGATTTATATATCCTTTTAATCTGTCATGAATCCAATACGTTCTTCTATTAGTGAAATTTTCTATACGTATTTACGTGCGTTTGTGAGTATAGATGTACGTTGAACATACTAATATTATTCCCTTTTACGATGCTTAAAGTTTTGTATAACTCTAATTTCGTTTAAAATATCAGGTATCCAATCATATGTCCTTTATATTGTTGTTAAAATGAAGTGATAATCGGGTTATCACTGTGACCTATATTGTGTACTAATTAAATTTTCCTTTTACCAGTTTCACTAAAGTTGAACTTTTAAAATGATATTTTCTGTCAGTATTTATATGATATACTACTGTGCTGTTATATGTAACATTCTCACTTCTGTAGTTTTTATGCTTATATATGTATATATGCTTATACTCTTAGAGTTGACGGCTAACTTTGAATGTGGTTCAGACTGTGATCCAACTGTTTGTTCTGTCAATTTGAGCAATTCTAACCTTTTTCATGTCAATACAGAAGCATCTACCTCCTGTTCATCTGCTATACCAGTACATACGTCAACTTGTTCAACAACTACTTCCAGATCGATTAATCCACGAATATCTACTAATTTGGTTAACCGAAAAGATAGATATAATTATGGCACTATATTCAATTCCAGTCATACTGAACTACATCATAGTGTTAATAGTAATAGTTTACAGACTCAAAGTACTCCTGTGGAATCAGGTAACTGGTTGATTCCCTCCTCTCTACTTCATAATCACTCTTATACCTAAACACTTCTATTTTGCTACTGCTTTACAATAAAATCAACATGAGTGTGTTGTTTTCTGTTCGGTTTTTCTTCGTTTTAATTGTCATCAATTCTGTGTATTTGTCATATCGTTTTTATGTGTTAGAAATGTATTGATTATTTGTAAGGATTGTTGGTTTCCCTCCCTTTTTTCATTTTACGCTCTGATTCTGTTTGTCTTTTTACAACTTAATGTTTCAGATGTTGTGCCATGGTCGATAATTCTACGTCCATATCTGTGTGTTTATGTTTAAATGTTGTCAGTTTTTTTTTCAGTGTAAATTTTCTTCAAATTACACCATAAGTTAGCAATTAACCAATTAATTATTTGTCTTCGTGCTTTTTTTCATTATCTTTCAGTGTCTTATGATAATGTTGTATACAATAAAACGAAAATGTCATCAGAGAACTATAAAAAAACGAAATCTATCAAAAATATGAGAAAATCTCCACTTACATCTGGTTCAAATGTAGTAAAAACTTCATCAGATAGTTTGAATATACTTAGACCGTCTCATACTGGTATACACCATCAAATATTAAGTTTACCACAAGATTATCAGAGTATTTCATTAAATAATTCAATGGAATCTAATCTTCATTTTCGTAGTACAATTCACCAAACACCCCTAGTTGAAATACAAGGCTCACATGGTTGGTTCAGTTCCACAGATGATGAAGATGATTATGATAATAATAATAATAATGATGTTGCAAGTGGTGGTAGTTGTAACTGTGCTAATAATAAAATTCAGTCTAGAAAAGAAAAGAATTATTTTTCCAGTTTAAATCATCCTACTAATATTACTACTATTTCAGACAAAATACAAATACCAACACATTCTACATATTCTACAATGATTGGTCAAGAGATTCCAAATACATCTCAACAATCAACTGTTGTACATTCTAACAATACTACTGTTATTACCGGTCATGAGATTAATAGTAATGATAAAAATCGAAATAATAGGCCAGAATCTGTGAGTAGTATTGCTCTATCAGATGATCAGACAGATGTAAATTCAGAATTTATTCCAATGTACAAGATGAATGTAAGTTCTTGTTTAATGATTAAGACCTTTTTTTCCTTTCTGTTTACCGTAAATTTATCTTTAAGTAGACATTTATTTGTTTCAATGTTTTGAGCTGGTCATTTCATTGCTGTACCGAAATAAAACAATTCATTAGTTTTATTTTCAAAAAAAATATTAACTCACAAATTAATAGATTTTTATGCGAAGAATATTGACACTCCTAATCAACTACCAGATAGAACAGAGTTCATATCAGGATCTCATTAATTGAATGTCATATACTTTGATCATAAAGTAACTAATAATGATTTACACACATCTTGTGTTTTTAAAATCGTTTCCGTAAATAAATCAACTTACTCTCTATTATATTATGGAAACAAATTTGGTAGATTGGACAGCTTTAGATTAAAAAAAGAATAAGATTATTTTTCAAAGGTAATCATATGTTTTTTTATTAAAAGTATAAAACTTAAAGTAAAATATTTTCTGTATTTTCACTGCCAACTAGTTCGGATCATCCAAGTCTACTTTAAGTAACCCTGGTACGGCCGAGAGTGGCGAGAGTCCGCTCTCCCTCTCGAAATGCTCTTACATGGCCACGCGTATATAGCCACTGCCAGGGAAGTCCTGCTCACTGCCTTTTCGTGGCATTACTGTTGTTTACGAAAGTGAGAGGACGAAAAGCGAATGTCCGGCGCTTTAACCGGGTTGGTGGACATGGAGTGTCCACCTAGGGGAGTTGGAAAATCCTGATTCCAAACTAATGGTGCACATAGGCTCCATTATCCTGAAGGAACAAATGGCGTATGAATCAATCGTTGGTCACTGTCTACCATGGGACTGCATCTCCTCACGATACTCCACTGTCTTGTGCATCAGACCTTTAGGTCAAAGGCTCGCGGTGTGGTCCCTTAAGAAAACCACCTGTTTCAGTTTGGACACCTGGGCAGTATCACAGCCCTCACACAAATCTCATTTGATTTGTGAGGCGCATATGTATTTTGTGCTTCCTTGTACCAATATTCATGTGTTCAAATAAATAAAAAATAAATGTTTAATCAGTCCTTATGTTTTGTTAAATTTGTTTAATCACTATTACATCAACTAAAAAGATCATCTAATATCTAGTACCTGTCTTCTCATACTTTAAAATTCTAAAGTAGTTCTCGTCCACTACCCTGTATAATATATAAACTCAAGAATTTCCAGGTCTCGTGACTAACACGTCACATTTAGACCATTGAACTGATATCCACTGGTTCACGTTTTGAACTACAATCAATCTGTCAGTTGAAATAATTACCAATCAGTATGATTAGTGAGTCACTGCCTCATCTTTGATTTAGTTAAACCCATAGATCATATTTCACTAAGCCTTTGTTAGGTCTATTACTATAAATATCACTTGGTCGTGACATTAGTCATGCTTTAACTTCACAATCTTCCACAAAATATCTAAGTAGATAACTGGTGAGCACAGTTAACTAGCTATACAATATGATATTTGATTACAGCTTGTAAATCTAATGCACAATGTTATGTATTATCTTTGGTTTTGTGAAGTTTTTTTGGTGAGAGTATAATGGTCTATAAGTCATCTTGAAACAATCCACCTGCTTACTAGGGTCAAAAAGGGTTTATAAATTAGTATCAGGAATCATAATTCGAATTGAGTTGGAATTTAGGGTTAGGAATTGAAGTAGGGGTTTCCATTACAAATTGATGTCATATATAGTACCGAAATGCTATTTATCTATATCGGCGAATAAATTTCACTTCAAAATCCAGGACTCGTCCTTAATTCAGTTGGTTCTTCCATACTTACTTACTTACTTACGCCTGTTACCCCTTGTGGAGGAGCATAGGCCGCTCACCAGCATTCTCCATCCAACTCTGTCCTGAGCCTTCCTTTCCAGTTCCTTCCAGTTGCTATTCATCCTTTTCATATCGGCTTCTATTTCTCGGCGTAGTGTGTTCTTTGGCCTTCCTCTTTTCCGCTTCCCTTCCGGATTCCAAGTTAGGGATTGAGTCGTGATGCACATTGGTGATTTCCTCAATATATGTCCGATCCACTTCCAACGTCTTCTCCTAATTTCCTCTTCAGCTGGAAGCTGGTTTGTCCTCTCCCATAAAACGCTGTTGCTGATAGTATCCGGCCAATGGATGTTGAGTATTTTGCGTAGACAACTGTTTATAAATACTTGTACCTTCCTGATGATGGTCGTAGTAGTTCTCCACGTTTCAGCTCCATACAGTAGGACTGTCTTGATGTTCGTATTAAAGATTGTGACCTTGAAATTGGTTGAGAGTTGTTTTGAGTTCCATATGTTCTTCAATTGTAGAAATGCTGCCTTTGCTTTTCCAATCCTCGCCTTTACATCTGCATCCGATCCCCCTTGTTTATCAACGATGCTCCCCAGGTACTTGAATGTTTCCACCTCTTCCAGAGTTTCGCCATCAAGTGTTATTGGTTTGGTTGGTGTTCTCCGTGTTGCATTTGAGAATCTTGCTTTTTCCTTTGTGAATGTGGAGGCCTATCGATGCGGAGGCTGCTGCTACATTTGCTGTCTTCATCTGAATTTGGTCGTGTGTATGAGAGAGGAGGGCTAGGTCATCTGCGAAGTCCAAATCATCTAATTGATTCTGAGAGGTCCATTGTATTCCGTATTTCCCTTCAGATGTCGAATTCTTCATAATCCAGTCAATCACTAGAAGGAAGAGGAATGGGGAGAGTAGACAGCCTTGTCTGACTCCGGTCTTTACTGGAAATGCATCTGTCAGCTGTCCTCCATGCACCACTCTGCACTGTAATCCATCGTATGAGTTTTGGATAATGTTGACAATCTCTTCAGGAACTCCATAGTGTCGAAGAAGTTTCCATAATGTTCTCCTATCCACGCTGTCAAACGCCTTCTCATAGTCAATAAAGTTGACGTATAGTGATGAGTTCCACTCAACTGATTGTTCAACGATGATCCGTAGTGTCGCAATCTGGTCTGTGCACGACCGATCCTTACGGAATCCAGCCTGATGATCCCTAAGTTCGGCGTCTACTGCGTCTTTCATCCGATTCAGCAGCACTCTGTTGAAAACTTTTCCTGGTACTGATAACAAGCTGATACCTCTGTAATTCTCACATTGGCTCAGATCTCCTTTCTTTGGTATCTTGATGAGATATCCTTCTTTCCAGTCCGTTGGCACTTGTTCCTCTTCCCAAATCTTCTTGAATAGAAGGTGAAGCATATTTGCAGTTATTTCAATGTCTGACTTCAGTGCTTCAGCTGGTATATTGTCAGGTCCTGCCGCCTTCCCACTTTTGATTTGTCTGATGGCCATCTTGACTTCTTCGATCGTTGGTGGAGTGACATCTATTGGAAGGTCTGTGTGGGCTGCTTCGATGTTCGGTGGATTCAATGGGGCTGGTCTATTCAGCAGTTCCTCGAAGTATTCTGCCCATCTTTTCCTCTGTTCTTGAATCTCAGTGATTGTCTTTCCTTCTTTGTCCTTGACTGGTCTCTCCGGTTTGCTATATCTCCCTGCCAATTTCTCCGTTGTATCATATTTCCTTCCCTTGCAGCTTTTTCCGCCGCCGTTGCTAGTTCTCCCATGTAGTTCTGCTTGTCGGCTTTAATGCTTTTCTTCACTTCTCTGTTTGCTTCTGCGTAGTCTGCTTGTGCTTTGATTTTCTCTGCTCGTGTTCGGCTGTTGTTAATTGCTAGTTTCTTGTTCTTCCTTTCTTGAATTTTGTCCAGGGTTCCCATAGATATCCATTCCTTGTGATGATGCTTCTTAGGACCAAGAACCTCCTGACACGTTGAAGTTAGTGCTTCTTTTATCCCTTTCCAGTTGTCCTCCAAAGTAGTTTCTTGTTCTTTCAGTAGATCCTGTAGAGCTTGGAACCTGTTGTTGAGAATTATATTGAATTCATGGAGCTTGTCAGTATCTCGAAGGAAGGCTGTATTAAACCTTTGTAGTGCTGTTTGTCCAGTTGTCCAGTGTTTCTTAAGCTTCAGTCTCATCTTGGCCACAACCAGGTGGTGATCTGAAGCTATGTCAGCTCCTCTCCGGGTTCTCACATCTTCCATTGATCTTCGGAATTTTTTGTTGATACAGATGTGATCTATCTGGTTCTCTGTGGTGTGGTCCGGTGAAATCCATGTAGCTTTGTGTATGCGTTTGTGTGGGAATATTGTGCCGCCTATAACCAATTTGTTGAAAGCACATAGGTTTGCAAGTCTCTCCCCATTTTCATTTCTTTCTCCTAGTCCATGTCGTCCAATTATATCTTCATATCCTGTGTTGTCCACTCCAACTTTAGCATTTAGATCTCCCATCAGGATGGTGAGGTCCTTTCGTGAGCACTTTGCTATAATTGATTGCAGCCTTTCATAGAACTGATCTTTATCATCGTCGTTGCTATCATTGGTGGGTGCATAACATTGGATAACGTTCATTGTGATCCCCTCCTTCTTTGTTCTGAATGATGCTTTGATTATCCTGGGTCCATGAGATTCCCATCCCACAAGTGCATTTTGTGCTTCTTTGGACAGCATTAGAGCAACTCCCTGAGTGTGTGGAGCATTTTCCCCTTCGTGACCGGACGTTCCATGTACCTATAAAGAGTGTTGCTCTGGTTGTTAGAAGGTGCATCGGTCTCGTGACTTCCGAAGAACTTCGGCTTTCATCATGAGACGTCATTATTCCTTCAACTCCCAGGGCAGAGTTTAAATGGTTTGAATTATTTTTTCTGGTTAGCGTTTTTTTTTAGCGAGTTAGCTTTTCTACGGGATGGGGTCGCTAACCCCATGCCCGACCCTCCTCCTTTACCCGGGCTTGGGACCGGCAGTAACTCTAGAAGAGCTACAGGCGGAGTTAAGTTCTTCCATAAGTTATCGTAATTTTCATTATATTTATTAAAGCGATGAAGAAAAGGGTTCGTAACCATAATAGTACTGTCAAAAAAGATTTTTAAAAAGGCTTAACTTCAAATAATCTTATCCTTTGAATAAGACGAAGAGAATTCAGCGAAGAAAATTTTCTTTTCGACGAAATCATTTACTTAAGCTGTACATTCGTATATAAAGTTATATAGAATATGTATGTCTATAGGAGGATAGGAAAGATTGCATCATAAATTGATTCGAGAATAAATAACAAATGAGGCTACGTACTAATCAAGGGAATTTTCTTCTCTGATTTCTCTTTTTCTTATTCAATGACACTATGGGTTATTTTAGTCTTATCCCTACAAATGTTTCTTTTTTTTTCCGAATCTCGTTTTTGTGTTTGTGCTACCTAAATCATTTCAATTTGATTCATCAAGGTTTTTGTGTGAGTATTACACCTCGACCGTTGCTGCAACCTTGACGTGGTGGTCGGGCTTGCCTATCGTGATGATTCAATCGAGCTATGCTGGCTGGAACAATCGTTCCTCAAGGTCCTACCATGCCAGACTGGTCGGTTGAAGATCGGTAAGACTAAAAGCAGCAATCCCAAGGTCCGAAGTCGTACTGCCGACTGTACAGAGGTGTGACGGCAGTAAGGTGTTTCTTAAGAATATATTTCAGGAACAACTGGAAAAACAGTTAGACAGACATATAAGTTGTGCCCACCCCGATGTAGCGTGGAATGACATCCGAAAAGCTGTGGAAACAGCAGTGATATCTGCTAGTAAGGTAAACCATAAGGTCAGGGAGAAACAATGGATCTCGGCAGCATCTACCGCACTGATAGATGCTCGTAAACTCATCCCACCTGGCTGTGAACATAACGAAGAGCGGAATCAGCTTAAGCGCAGGCTAATAAGAAGCCTACGTAATGATCGTGAACAGTGGTGGGTAGCGAAAGCAAGAGAGATGGAAAAGGTAACGGCACTAGGTAACAGCAGACAGCTATTCAGACTTGTTAAAGAAACCGGCATTAGGAACCCAAGTAACAGCGAAACCATCTCAGATAAAGATGGACATATCATTCATTCTAAATCCAGGAGATTGGATCGATGGGCAGAACACTATAGGGATCAGTTCAACTGGCCTTCAGCCACACTTCAATTACCCACGATCCCCAGTCCTGAATGGCAAATTGATGTAAGTCCTCCAACTCTCTTCGAGGTTGAAAAAGCTATAGGAAATCTGAAGTGAGGGAGAGCAACAGGCCCTGACAAGTTTACCTCTGAGATTTTAAAGGATGGTGGTCCAGTACTAGCAGCGAGATTGACTGAGGTCCTAGGTAGAATCTGGGAACTGAACGTAATTCCATCTGACTGGTCCCAATCACTGATTGTGCCAGTCTATAAGAAAGGACAAAAGTCCTCCTGTGACAATCACAGAGGAATCAGTTTGACTAATATAGTGTCTAAAATATTAGCTTCAATAATACTTGGACGCCTAACCAAAGCTCATGAAGAGCAGACTAGAGACGACCAGGCTGGTTTTCGACCTGGACGTGGTTGTATAAACCAGATATTCACTCTACGTCAGGTTCTAGAACATAGACACAAATTCAGACGTCCCACAATAGTAGTATTTCTTGACCTTAAGGCGGCATTTGACTCCGTTGATCGTGAGGTTTTATGGCAGTGTTTGTCACTGAAAGGAGTACCAACGAAGTACATTAACCTCATAAAGGCTCTCTACTCGAACACAACTGGTCGAGTTAGAGCCTATGGCGAACTGTCATCAGAATTGGTTACCTTAAGTGGTGTTCGTCAAGGCTGTCCACTCTCCCCATTCTTGTTTAACTTTGTCGTTGACATACTTTTAGAGATAGCACTTTCATCAGCTAAACCTCCAGGAGTTGAACTTTTACCAGGAGACTCACTTGTTGACTTAGAATACGCCGACGACATAGTTTTATTCAGTGAAGACGCTGACAAAATGTAGAGTCTTCTGACCACTATAAGCAACAATACAGGCATGTTCAGGATGCGATCCTCTCCCTCGAAGTGCAAAATGCTACTTCAGGATTAGGTTGCAGCGACACCTGAACTAATGATAGAGAGTAAAGTAGTTGAGAGTGTTGACAGATTCACTTATCTTGGGAGTCTCATCAGCCCTTGTGGTCTGGTGTGTGATGAAATTTCAGCACGGGTACAGAAGGCTCGTCTAGCTTTCGCCAACTTGCGTCATTTGTGGCGTAGGCGAGATATCCGTCTAGCAACCAAAGGACGGGTTTACTGTGCAGCAGTCCGTTCCGTCCTACTTTATGGCAGTGAAACATGGCCGATAAGAGTAGAGGATATTCGTAGGCAACTTGTATTCGATCATAGTTGTCTTCGAAGCATTGCTCGTATATTCTGGGACCACCGGGTATGTAATGCAGTTGTAGGAAACAGGTACTAGATAAGGATGGTAAATCGATTGATGAAGTAGCGAAACTTCATCAGTTGAGATGGCTGGAACACGTGTTAGGTATGCCCAACCACCGACTGCCCCGACGTGCAATGTTTCATGGTGTAGGAGTAGATTGGAAGAAAGCTAGGGGTGGCCAGACCAAAACGTTGCACAAATCAATGAAGTCACTGACAATTGGACTGAGCCATGTTGGTAGGTGTAGACTACGTGGTTGGGTTTCGCGAGATGACAGCAACCGATGGTTAGAGACCTTGAATGACATGGCTCAATATCGTTTGGAATGGCGAAGGTGTATCCACTCTTTGTGTTCTACCAAATTCTAACTTTTTGAATTCTTCATGTCCGTATCCTTTTTCTCTTTCCAAATTTATTTCACTGTATTATACTCCTTAAATAACATCTTCAAACCCTAATCTTTTGGATTTCTGATTATACTCCTACTACTTCTACCACTATGGGATTTGAATGGACAACTGCATCTGTGTGCTAATGTGGTATGGCAACTTGAACTGATGTAGGTACGTACGAAGTTCTACGTTGTAACTGACTGACTGACTGTGGTTATTACACAATTGCACTTGTCTATTTTAATGCTCAATTAGTAAATAAACACGATTTGTTCCATTATTGATATTTAATACTGAATTTTGACCAGCCTTTGTTGGCAAATCCACATCCTGCCCGGATCACCTCCATATAACTATTTTATCTTAGGTTTGAAATAATAGATTAACTATGGCGAGCAACGGAACCTAGGAAACACCTTTCATCTTGTTTGGGATTCATCAGCTGGATATACCTGTATTCCAATGTTGATGTTCACATTGTAACTCGAATACAGTACCTTTTTCTCAGGGTATAACGCTGTGGTTGATGCAAACTTTGTCATCTAAAAGCTTACTAGATGGTTTTCAGTGTTCTGGACTTAAGTGATATATTATAAAAGTTTTTTTCAATGTGTTATGGTATTTGTCATTCTTTTGATCAACGCTTTTCATCCAAAATAAAACTTAAAAGGAATATTTAGTACTATAATCATCTCTAACTTTTAAACCCCTTGCAACAAATTCCAAAATTGACTCTTTCAAAGTTTTATTCTTAATAATCAATCGTTAAAGGCTCACCAGATTACTACAATAAGTACCTATTCACTCTTCCTTCTATCACCAACGATAGTAACAACAAGAAACTTCTTCCGTATTAATTTATCTACTCAATTATAAGTGAGTCTAATAACGAACACTCCAAAATAGTGTAATGACGACTTTGTTTCCTTTTGTGTCTCGTTCTGTCAGCACACACGCACAACAAATATCGTAATCGTCAATCTATTAATTCAAATTATTTAATTTTTGTCTTTTTTTATTATTAAGGTGTTATTATATGTATCAGATTTGTCTAAAAAACGTTATGGAACATTGAATAGGAAATATTTACTTTATTTCTGGTAAGCATATCCAAAACTATTTGTACTGTTTTAATGGTTATGATCAAGAAAGTTTATGACATCAAAGTAGTGATAGTAATATTGTATCTTCCTTTGATTTGATTCTTGGTCTTATATTTGTCCATGATTTTTTTATTGGTTGGTAAATTGGATCAATTTCGATGTGTTTGTTGATTGCTGATTGCTAAAAATCTTGCTAAAAGAAATCTTGAGTACCAAGCTTCTAAAAATCCTCTGGTGTTTTTAGAATCGCCTATATCAAAGATCTCAATATTTTTCCAGTCGAATATGTCTATATGTATTGATATAAGCGAATATATGTCATAGCGTTTGACCGTTAATTGATGTTTGTGCAGACGAATATGAAGGGGTTGTCCACTCTATCTGATGCAATGTTTTTCGTAATTAGAACATTTTATTTTGTAGATGATGTTCGGTTTTTCTTCTTTTGTCATTTCGTGTATGCTGATGATGTTGTTCAGAAGAACAATGAAAGCTCCATGACCAAACCATCCAGCCCAAAGAACAAAACTGCACCTAAATCATCCACCTGAGCCACGAATCTTCTCCACCATCTCATTATCTAAGCTTTATTTAACTTCTGATGCAATGTTCAATGTTTACTTGATTCTATGTCACCATCTGTCTATTTATCTATTCCTGTAGCATATACTTGGATTTATTATCATATTTTTGTTTGTTTTTAATTGAAGATATGTCAACTTTAAATTTATTGTTTCTTTCGCTTTATTTAATGAATCTTATAGGTATTTAATTATCATATCCATTTTCTATGGATTACCAGCAGTACAATTAATCATGACGTACCAAAAGGTAAGGGTAACTTATACCATCTTTCCATATATATTCATTGTGTTTTAAATATTTATAGGATTGCGAAACATTAGTTTTGCTAAAGATTACGCCACCTTTGTAAGTGATTTATGTATTTGTATGATACATCGATAAACTCAATCAGTTCTTGTCTTGTTATTGAACTGAAAGTTGAGATAGAACGTCATTCTAACTTTTTAAATCATTTGTTTCCAGAGTTCTACGGTACTATGAGTCTCGTTTACGCTTAATAACTAATTGCAAATTAACTAAATAGTTATCTAAAGTGTTATTAACGAACGACTACTGGTATTATATTTGCCTGTTCTACTTACCCTTACAATTTATATTAGTTTAGAAGTTTAATATTGCTCGATCACTGAGTAGTGACCAATGTTGAATCTACTTAATTCTTTTGCTGCTGACCGAATTCTATTGATCAAGTTTCAATATGGTTACTAGGTTGAGTAACTTGATATAATGTGTAACATGTTAAGATGTTTGATTGTTGGAGGGAAGGGTATAAATCAGTTAGAGGTGGATACCGATTATGCCAGTACAATATACATGTAGCCAATATGTTCTCTTACGTAATTGACGTTTCTCATTATGTTTTATTATTAATTTGTGTATATTTCTTTTTCAATTATATTATATCTAGGCTGTTTTTGAAACTGGTAATGAAGATTTATGTTATTACAACTTTGAATGTGCTCATTCACTTGGCATCTTCACGGCGTTTAACAATATTATTTCAAATATTGGCTATGTTATGCTAGGATTATTATTTCTTGTCTTGACTGCCCGACGGTAAGTAACACAAGCACGAAATTTCCTGAAATATTGATTCACTGATTTACATAGCTTTTGCAGAACGCTTCAATATTTTTCACTTTACTTTCGCGAATAGACATCATTTATAGCACTACTGAAAAATAAGGAGCTTTTGACATTACGTTCATACTAATTCATGACTCCTATATGGTGTTTAACTCAAAACCTTTAAGTATGGAGGTGGGCACAATATTAATCAGTTACTAAGTCTGTTCTGGTAGTTAATGCTTTTTAATTTCAGCCCTTTCGTGACTTAGAGTGATCCTCATTCGATGTCAACAGTCAGTTATCCCCTCATTTTCAAGTTATTTGTCTACATAGGTCATAAATTTTCTCTTGATCTTTGAGAAATTGTTTTCAGAGTTAGTGATCTGTCATCAATGAAGTCAGAAGTCTCTATATACTTCAGATGTTACATTAGTTTCTATCTCTCCACCTTTAAGGTGCATGTATATAAGATGGAGTGTGGTCATACTTGCGTTGTCGTTAAAGTAGCCTAGTTTATCAATTGGCAGTTTACTATAGTTTTTGTCTTATTGTATGATACATTTAGACATTAGTGATAAAATTTGTTTGCTACAGGAACCGAATGTTTACGCTAATTCGATTCTAACATTATTGAGTAAACAATCCATCTATCTAACCATCTTTCATTTCATATTTTCGACAAACTCGTATTCAGACTATAAAATTGTTGATAACTTAATAACTACGTTGAATATCTGAATTGAACGTGTTGTTCATACGTAAAAGGTGGTCATGCTTATTTAGACAATTAATTTACACACGGACAATATCAGTCAACACTTATAAAATTTCGTTATGATCCATCTAATCAACTTTTTTGATTGAATTGTTTATAAAGAATTCACTCATTAAAAGTCATGCTTTAAAAAACATATTGGCGAATCATGTAATATGTATTGTCAAGTCATATGAGTGTAATTATTTATCGTAATAAAAAATTAGTCTGCATTGTCTATGCTCTCTCCCCTGTAATCTTCGAAATTCCGCCTTAAGTAGTTAGTAGTTTTTGATTAGATGATTATTATTCGACTATATATTATATTATGCAAGCTTACTATATGTAATTATATATTCTGTACTCCTACTTCTTTTATCCATCTTATAGTGATATTCTTCATAGGCGAACCAAAAATTTAAACCCAAACTCCCAGGTAATCATAGTATTCACTTTTGTATTTATTTGTGAAAATTATCTCTTAAATAGCCTTGTGTTCATCATTATTGTTAGGTATTTTACATAAGTATATCTACTAGTTATTTGTCAATCAAGAAATCTTTTTTCAACTACAAACAGTTTAAGCGGGTTGGAAACACAAAACTTATAGTAATGAATAATTTAGAGAGTATCCTTTAGCTGTATTGCTTCTGGAAGGTTGATTATGTAATTTATTAAAACATTTAACATTTAAGAATACTGGGACCTAAAGTCTAAAAACATGATAAAGAGTTGGTGAATCTACATCACTTTGCTCCATCATAAGCTATGTAACTCAACTTCTTTCTCTCTGATCTAATTCAGATAGCCTGCATCTACCAATGTGGATAATAACAATAGTCGATAATCTCATGGATTGATGCCACTTTTTGTTTCGGCCATTTTTAGTTTTCTTCCAGCCTACTCATACTCTAGTCAGTATCATATGTTGGCCCCCAAATGCCCTGGTATGGCCGAGAGTGGGGAGAGTCCGCTCTCCCTCTCGAAATACTCTCACATGGCCATGCGTAATATAGCCTCTACCAGGGAAGTCCTACTCACTGCCTTCTCGTGGCGGGGGTGTTGTTTACGAAATTGATAGGACGAAAAGCGAATGTCCGACGCTTTAACCGGGTTGGTGGACACGGATAGCCCACCTAGGGGAGTTGGAAAACCCTGATTCCAAACCAATGGTTCGAATGGGCTCCCGTATCATGAAGGAACAAATGGCGTATGAATCAATCGTTGGTCACTGTCTACCATGGGACTGCATCTCCTTACGATTCTCCACTGCCTTGTGGATCAGACCTTTAGGTCAAAGGCTCGGGGTGTGGCCCCCCAAGAAAACCACTTGCTTCGGTTTGGGCACCTCAGCAGTATCCCAGCCCTCACACAAATCAAATGAGATTTGTGTGGCGCATATGTATCTGGTGCTTCCTTGTACCAATATTTATGTGTATAAATTTAAAAAAAATCATGTTGAAGTAGACAGTTGTTGGGCGTAGTCAATACGTATCTCATCTACCTCAGTTGATAAAGCAATTCTGTAAGGACACATACAGCCTACACATATCTTTTAATTTCGTAGACCATGTTTCATAGCCATGTAATAATACAGAGCATATTTCTACATGGTATATTTTTCCTTTAGCTGTTAGATTGGCATCTCGACTATGCCACAAGTGATACAAGTTTGCAAAAACCAACCGAGGTTTTTGAATTGTTGCCGAGATCCCGTTAGACAACGTCCCACTAAGACTTGCAAAATAAATAGTGATGAATGTATTCAACTACTTCACTCCTTATCGTTAGTTCATGCGCTGACACAAACCAGTCCTGAAACAAAATTTTGCATTTGAAGGAAGTGAAATGCATCCCAAACATGTTTGCATTGTTACTCAAGGCAGTCCTCACTAAACAGAACTACATCACTTGAGTACTCTATGTTGATTAGTGAGTTTTCAGGAAAGAGATCAATCTCGGCAAAGTCACAAGAATAAAGTGTTATTTCTAATATTATATCTCACTACACTGGGACACAGGTCCCAGATGACGGCGATTCAGTCTTATTTATATCTTAGTTTCTTGAATTTTTTTAGAGTTTAGGTACAGATATATTATTATTTAGCATAACGTAACTTACATCGTGTCACGAAAACAGCCACCCTAGACATTATGTAGATTATTTCGTAATTCGTTGGATTTTAATAGTGTTAACATTCAACGTAAACTTATATCTATAGTTTTGATAAATCATCCCTTTCAACAGGTGCATCTCACTCTACAGTAAATATACTATTGTTCACTTACACTCAGTATGACAATTTATTCGTTTCAAATCCTAATTGAAGTGTAATTGCAATAGAGACAGTTTGCTGTTAAAGTCTTCGTTTGAATTACAAACTGACTAAGTTTGAGTTCTTACAAGCGGATAAGGGGGGAACACTTTTTAAGCGTTCTAGATATACCATTATAATTTTCACAACTTCCTCTTAACAATTGTTTGGTAACATATCGATCACAAACCATTTCAATAAATATATTCTTGTAATAATACTATAATGCACAATTTCTTGTTCTTGATTCTATATTTTAATAGCTCTTATATTTTTTTCACTAATTAAAATAAAATCTCTTTAGGTATTGGGTATACCTCAGCATTACGGTTTATTTTATGCAATGGGTTTAGCATTAACTATGGAAGGTCTAATGAGTGCATGTTATCATATGTGCCCCAATTTTTCTAATTTCCAATTTGGTAAGCTAACCAAAATACTAATATAGTTATCTTATTTTGTAAATCATCTTATCTTCTTTAGTGGTACGTCTTTTGCAGATCTCCGTTTTTTTTATAGTTGACCTACCGGCAAGACCATAATTTATGGACCACCTTAGAGTGATGCTAAAGTGACCTCGAGAATGTCTGCCTACTAACTATGACCAAATGACGGTTATAAACCAGTGTGAGAAAATAGACTTATGATTTCGAGTTGATGGTTAGAGTTGGGAATTAGATTCATGATGTTCATCACGAAATGATATCAGTTAAAATCCCAAAACGCTATTTAGCCAAATAGATGAATGAATTTCTCACAAAAATCCAAGACCTGTTATCTTATATCTAATTGATTCGTCCATAAACTATAGTCTCATCGACCTCTCTTACGTATTTCTCTGGTTAAAAGTCAATACAGTTCTAGCTGTTAAACGAGTATACATGGATCTGATACTAACAATCGCGAATACTATCAGATTTCAATGTCATACTTTTCATTTTTTGTAAAGCCTTACTGTGTGGAACAAATAACTATCAATGTATTTTTTTAACGATAAAAATCCTTTTGTACAAAATATGTAGTACAATGCAACTAATATGTAATATCGTTTATTGACCTAAGTCTTTTTATTGTTCACAACTTCATTATTACAATTATCTTATCTTTTTAAGGATGCTATTATTAATTATTATTATTATTGGAAAATACCCAAACAAGCCACACAATGGCTCATATAATTTTAATTAAGAAGAGAATGTCTACTGCCATTTTTACGTACCAGACCAAAAGCTTTTTGATCAAAGTCCTACGAGTGGATAGGTGTACTGTATATCTCTGTTGATAACCTTTAAAATGTCTTTTGTGACTGAGTCATTTTTGCTTGATCCTATCATTTGTGTTTTCAGATACTGCTTATATGTATATACTCGGTATGCTAATAATGTTAAAAATTTACCAGACAAGACATCCTGATGTGAATGCATCAGCACATTCAGCATATATGGTTATGGCTGTAGTTATTTTCCTCGGTGTTCTTGGTGTTGTAAGTTTTACTTCTGTTGATTATTGTAATTTTTTGCAATGAAATGGTTCACGGAGTTTAACTATATAAATATCAGCTGTGTCGATAAGAAATAATATCATATGTGTCCTGGTGTTAATGTTCACGCTGAAACTCGTATGTATTACTTACTACTTTAAAAACCAATACGTTGCCAATTATGTTGCTGAGTGTGAATATTCCTCAGCTTTCTTAGTGTGTAGCATATGGACCAATATTATCATTAGAAGTAGTAGTATGATTTATTGTTTTTCTATTGTTAGTATTCGAAAGTGAAATTCGTCTGTCTTTTTTAGCATGTATGTTTCCTGACCGAACGTCCCAATATAACCCTAAAGTACAAGTTTATTGAATTTCGGAATTGTAGCAGGAGGATCTGAACACAATATTCTAGTTAATAAGGTGTTTATACCTGAAATGATAAGTACTTGATTCAGGTTGACGGGTCTCATATAAGACGAAACGTGCATTCAGTCACTCGGAAATGATTAAGTCCAATAAGTCAGCTTGAGTCTCAAACGTCTGTACCTAAAGGTAAATGGTGTTCGGTGATTAAGAAAGAAGTCCCAGTTTGTTAATCAAATCTGGTATTTTTTTGAGCTAGAGATTAGCTTGAAATACCCCAGTCCTTTTCTCTTCGTTATGTGTTTACCCATGAACTTATAAATATCCTTATCTTCTGTAGCTAAACTGACCTTGACAGTAAAATTTATCTTCGTACTTTTTGCTTGTTGTTTCCTGTTGGGGGTTCAAGTGATTTCTGGGTGACTAGAAAGCGGTTAGAATTAGTTGCTAGTCGTCCAAGTAACACACACTTCAATCTCATTTCATACAGCGGTTTGGTGTTTGCATAGATTGCTACAACAGAGTCACCGAAAATCTAAATTTAATCAAAGCAATGAAATCTTCGATTTCTAATTCAGGATCTTCATTTGTGATTTCTTTATGATCAGCTGAATCTACAACACATGGACCCTATCAACTCCTACAAACTACTCATCGAACAAGTTCATAAAAATCACTAACCTCCCAGTTGTAACACAACGAAATAAATTTAACATTCATATTGTTTCAGATTAAATTATATGAAAAATCTTTAATCTATAGAAGAGGCAAAAAGTGAATGTACAAGTTTATCCTCACATGACAATCAGTCTCGTAATACATAGAAAGAAATGAAAGCTGATCTTCAATAAAATCTCATCACCAAACTATATGTTTACTGCTTCATAGAATTCAATGCTTACTCAGTTAGTATCTAACATGAGGACACAGATATTGTGGCGAGACTATAACATATGGACGAACCAATCGGATTTAAAATGGCATATCTTGGATTTCAGCTCGAAATTCATTCATCCATATAGGTAAATAGAATTTCGCTATAACAACTGATATCAGCTCGTGATGAAAACCTTTATTCAAATTCCTAACTCTAACGTCCAACTGAAATTCCTAGTTCTATATCCTCACACTAATATATAACCTTTGTTTAATCTTAAAAGTAGACACTATCATGGTCACTCAAGCATCATCGCTCAAAGGTTGTCCATAAGTTGTTTCATAGAAATTGTCTATAATATATTGTTCAAGAAAAGTCATAACTAGAAAAGATTTTATCATGATTATCAAATTGTATCAATTTACTACTAATGAATCCACTAACATCAGCTAAATTTTATTTAATAAAATATATCTGTATCAGGGGGTTTTCTGTGAAGATTTTAAGTAATTTTTATATATACTTGAAATCATGAGTCAATTGAAGCTAGACCACCGTAGAAAACCTGGGAGCACTGGACGGCCGTTTCGTCTTATTGTGGGACTCCTCAGGACGAGACGGCCGTCCGGTGCTTCCAGGTTTTCTACGGTGGTCTAGCTTCAATTGACTCATGATTTCAAGTATATATATCTGTATCAATTGAAATTTGAGATTAAAGTTGATTGATTTAACATTCTGTTAAATATTAAGTTTAATTCTTTGCTAAGATAAATGTTATTTCTCTCAAAAATATAAATATGATTTATAAATTTCAGTATAAGTCAAAAATAATATTAGAATAGGGGTTTTGTTGGAATTGTAGTAATTTAAATAGTTGAATTCATGGATTGAAGTTTGATATTAATATCGGTGGATGCTGGCTCAATGGTCTAGAGCCTATGCGTTCGCGCGTGAGTTTGAAGGTCCTAGGTTCAAATTCCCCGAGCGGGATCTTGAACTTGCCTTGCTGAGGAGTCCCATACTAGAACAAAACGGCCATTCAGTGCTTCCAGGTTTTCCATTATGGTCTAGCTTTAATCGACTCATGAATTCAACTATCACAAATAATAATTAAATATAAATTATAACCAATTTTAACAACTTAATAACTACTTTTTGAATTACATATTTACTAATTTCATTTTAGTAAAGTATATGAAATAATAGTCTCATAAACTAAACTATTCTAATTAAATTAAAGGTCAAAGTGTTTTGTCTTACTTTTTAAGAAAATGTATGTTAAATCTCAAAATTCTTTTATATTTACTATAAACAACAATAAATAGTATGATCAATAACTTTTTTTTATAGAATAACTAGCAATGGAATATATAATGCTTATTTCACCTCATTATGGACTGTTCAGTTGAATGTACTTGCATCTAAGTATTGATGTTCATAGTGGGACTCAAACCCAGTACTATTCGTTTCAAATGCCAATGAGTTAGATTTACTGAGCTACTAAATTCAGATAGACACTAATTTATTCAATAAGCTTGATGTTTATATCTTGGGCTACACGTATATCTAGTCGCTGAGTACCAAATAAGAAAAAAAACATAAGTCATGTTTTTTGCTACTATCCACAATTCATCTTTCCTATAAAAACATTATAAAATAGCTATGTCGAGGCACATTTCACACAGTATGCTCATATGCTAACGAAGACTAATAAAAATCCAGCACTGGATGTCTGATAACTCTACTACTCGATTATGGCTAATATGGCAAACGGCCTCGGCACTTGAATGTGTAGAACCCACAAGTTGTAAATCAAAAAGCTGAAGAAAACTGGAGAAGTGTCTGCTGAAGTAATTTCTAAGAACGGGCGTATTTATAGACTTTTGGTATAGGCTGTAATCTCTCTTTTAAATCTTTTACTTGCTCACTGGCTCTCCTTTGGAAATTGTCTTTCAACTAGTCACGTGTTATTCCGTCCTTTATGGTTACTGTTCTGTCGTTCCTGTTTATGAAATCTCGTTGTGAAATTACAAAAAAGCAAGATCTAAAAGAAATCATATATAAAATCAAACGCGCCGTTGTAGAGAATTGTTGGCAGTTTCTAGAAAAAATGTTTTCAGATGACTAAGAAAAATGTTTTGATTAATCGGTGATTTTTGTGAAATCTCAAAAAGACTGGAAGGTAGCTAGTTTTATTCCCCTTATTCAGATCGATTTAATATTGTATTTACTACCAAGCCTAGGATCTTATCCTGGAGCTTCTAAACTTTTAAGGTCACCCGTAATCTTGTAAATAATCTCGTTTTCTGTATATAATCTAACCTTCGAGGGAAAGCTTCTATATATCTAACCCTTTTTGATTCTCTGTCAAAGTTGTAATGGCCTAGGAAGCGATCAGAAAATTGATATTGAAAACATTCGGAATTCAAGTCTCATCAACTGTAGTTGAAATTAGTTTCTATTTATAAGTGTGAAATCCAGTGAGTCGGTCATCATTGTTGGAATGGATCGAACAAGTAGTACAATGGTATTAAAGTAAAGGATCCTTGAACGAATCACTCGATCTCCTTTGCAGTTATGAGTAGGCCATATCTTATCACTGATTGTCATTTATCCAATAGTATTCCTTTAACAATTTTAATAACCCAAACATACCCCTCCCCGTGACAATGCCCTAAGACTTTCTATAACAACACCTTGATATACTATTAACGGTCGTTTACTGGTAACTAAGCTTGAGGTCTTTCTTTATGTGGTAGTAAAACTCTGTTGCATTTGGATGGTGACACGAGACAAACAGAATAGTAACTCATCATTTACATCATAAATGAGAATAATACTTTATCGTGAATAGACCAATACTGGAAAACGCGAATCACTAAATTTTCCTCACTCCAAAACATGGTTGTGAGTTTAATCCTGTCTAGTATTATGGAAGTACACTGGAGTGATGTTCTAAATCGGACCCATAATTGCTATCTAACCCTCCTTGGCCTTCAGTAGTTCTTCAGTTGATATTAATCTTTCCATTAAATTTGTCTACATCAAATCACAAAGTAAACGCTTGAAATCGCTTTGTATATAAAAATACGAAACAAGGTCATTTTAACATGGTTTCCTATGGGATATAATAATGCTAGCAATATAACCTAAGTTTTAAAGTTCTATCATAGTTTATTTTTACAGGACCTGAAACCACCTCTTGGTCATTTAAATTAACCGATAGACCACACCATTGGATGCCGGCTCAGTGGTCTATCGGTTAAGAGCTTCAGCTCGAGACTGGTAGGTCCTGGGTTCGAATATCGCGAGTGCGGGATCGTGGATGCGCACTGCTGAGGAGTCACATAATATGACGAAACGGCTGTCCAGTGCTTCCAGGTTTTCGATGGTGGTCTAGCTTCAATTGACTCATGATTTCAACAGTGAAAATACTAAATTCTCCACAAAACCCCCTCTGAACTTTATTATCATCATAATTATCCTTGGTCATTGATTTCTTCCTTACTATATCTAATATAGTGTAATATCAAGCAATTAGTCTTAATCATTAAGTTAGCGCTTGCGTGTGTGTACGTGCACGAGGAAAATTCTACTTGTAAACTTTTGTTGAGTTTTTCTTGTTTCTTCTCTTTTGTAATTCTTTTACAGTTATATGGAAATCAGATTTTCTGGATTATATTCACTATCTTCTTTCTAATTATGAGCGTTATATTAACCGTTGAGATTTATTATATGGGTCAGTGGAATATTGGTGAGTTGAATATCTATCTAATATATATATGCAGATTTCGGGCCATATCCAGGAACGTCTTATTTGGTCTCAATAAACGTCCGAAGCCCAACCAGCTAGTCTGCATCTACCAAGACGGCTTAGTTCAACAATCACTGACTTTACGGACTGATGCTACGTCATTGTTGGGAGCCTCTAGCTTTCTGCGAAATTATTCCTATATAATTGTACATCACTCATGGTGTTATGTATGAGACGTTGATCGATACCACTCGCTAGATTCGCCAATCAGAAACCTGGTTACTATTTTTGTACTCCCACGTACATTTTTGGTGGTTCGTACTATTTTGGCTCTAAGCTTTGACTAATTACATGCTTAGACTGGCAAATTTAACATTGAATTGAACCGTGAATAATCCTAATTTACTGGTTCATTGAGTTCCAGTCTTCAGTTTGATAATAAAACACAGCAGTCGTACTTTTGTTGAATATTTCAGGCACCTGGAACACTTTAGTTTACATACATAAATTATCCTACCACCACACGCGCCATATATGGAATCATACTTCTACATGCAACCATCCCATAAGTGATGGAGTACGGAACGAACGATACATAATTAGTCAGCAATAATTAAGGAGTAATGTTCGAGATGCTGGATCGAATTTCTAGTTTTTGCACCATAAGCGCCCTTTTTTACCTTCAGATTGTATTTCCCACTTGAAAAGACCCTAAATGCCATTGGTTGGTTGCTTTATTTAATATGCTATTTTGTGACGTTTCCCAAGATAATTTTATCCTGTGTGCTTGTTGTTGTTCGTGCTTCGGGTTGCTTGTAGAATGTACTTCCCCTCATCTGAACCTGAAATTCTCCCTCTAGTTAGCGAGGCTGGGACGCATTGGAAATAGTTTAGCTGTCTTGTCGTGTCGCTGATCCTTCATTCCATTGGCTGATATTAAGGGGATCTCGTAATCTCTTCAAACAGCAAATAATAAACCATATAACCATAGTTAAGAAATCTAGTGGTAGCTCGCAATAAGGAGAATATAAAAATGTAAATTATAATAATAGTCCTTTGAATAGTCCCCAAGGTTATAATGTCCTCAGTACATGCCCCATCATAACACGTTAAGATATATTTGGGGATTGTACTACTCGTCCCATTCACATACATATAGCATTTTTTATGGTGAACTATTTTCATTGTTACCAGTTTGTTTGAATGTTTTTACAACGACTGTACAACTAATGCTTCATTTCCGTTTACTAAACTTCACCGTGCTTAAAAACAAATGTTGAAAGACTCACTAACATTCTTGATTTACTTATAATCTTTTAGTCTGCAGTGTTCTGGAATACAACTATAATTAGTCAATCGAAAATTCTTTTGATTATGTCTACATATGAGGATAATAATGTAAAATATCCATTTGATAAAGATGCCTTTGAATTGTTGATGAAATATAGTAGAATTACTGTGGTAATCAAACTACTTGTCAAGTCATAAACTGATTGTAATCGGCAGAACTTCTAATCGGCTCTTTTTTTAAGAGTTACCATTTATCTGTACGAAGTATTTATTTATCATTAGTATGACTAATCGAATAACAAACCCACTGGCTTATGTGATGAGGTGAATTTTAATTCATACATTTTGGTTGTTTGGATTTTTCCAAAGTGAACATCAACTCCAGGATTCAGGTACGTTCAACTGCTGAGTACTAACAAGGACCAATAGCGCGTCCTGGATTCCACTGCTAGCCACCATCCACCTCTACTTAAACTTAAGAAGCCACTAATTGTAAAAATTTGACCATCATAATCTAAATTAAGAAATTCATGCATCATTTTATACTAAGTTTCTATGTACAAACTTCTAAATATTACTTAACTAGGGAAGTTGTGCCAATAGACAACAGTATGTTTACCCTAATTGATATTAATTTTGGTTTTATCACTTTGTTATTCATCATTATGCATTTTTTAAAACATCTCTTTTCTATTTCTCTTTTCTTCAAGATTTATGCCTTCCAAGACGTATTTATTACTTAATTCGTACAGATGGGTTTGGTTGTCTTCGTCCAACTTATTTGGAGCGTATGCTTCTTTTACTTATTGCTAATCTAGTTAATTTCACCTTGTAAGTTTTTAAGAAAAACATGTGTGTATTTGAATTCGAACTACAATTTCATGATATTGGATGATTAGAGGCATATGTTTCTAGGTCAACTTCAGTTGCGATATACACTTCCTATGGTGTACCAAACCTACGTTTTTATTTAATCAAGTTATTATATGACTCCATATTAGTAGAAAAACATGAAACAGTTTTTCTATTTTATCCTAACTTATTTACTTTGCATTTCCTGATTCAACACATCATCTTGTGAGTATGTTGTTTATGTTTAAAAGATGGAATAGATCAGTTTAATGTGAATGTTGATCAGTGTCTCGAAAATGCTTGATGTCTATCTTTTCCCGGTATTTGAAAATAGTCAACTGCTTAATCCAATGATGTACGTAGCATTCATTTCTCGATATTGAGTTTCAGTGAAAACAATAACAACAATAAAACTCAGTCAGATAGAGATATATCCAGGTGACGAGTTTTATTTATGACAAAATATATGTTATGCGTTCAACTGTTAGTTTTTATGAGACACCATTTTTGTATTGGTTGTTTGGATTTTCCCATTGATGTTTAAGACCGCAATTGATCAGTCTCTTATTGCTATATGTGCATCCCGTGCGGATTGCCTCGATATTGCTTTCAGTCACACATATTATAAGCAGAGATGGATGGTGACTAGCACTGGGATCCAGGAGGTGCGTTTCGTCCCATTCGGTGCTCATCAGCTGGATGTACCTGCATCCCAGAGTTCATATTCACTACGGGATTCTAACGCAGTACTGTTCACTTCAAACGCCATCACGTCACCCACTTAGCTACTGAGTCCAGATAGCCACTAGCTTGTGTAATGGGATGAATTTCAATTCATTTTTGCATTGGTTCTTTCCCAATAAGAGACTGATCAATTGCAGTCCTAAACATCAGTGGGAAGATTCTAAAATTAACAATCACTACAAGATAGATATTCAATAAATGGTTATTTTCATTGTGTGATTGAATCATATAGCTAATTGATTATGTTATTCTGTAAACATTTTAAATACCAAGTAGAACACCCTGGAAAAAGAGTTTGATCATTCTGTAGTTATAAACCGAGAAGCCGTTAAAATGAATGTTACTCTAACATATCTACGTTTAACGATAGAACAATAGCTAACTGGATTGTGTAGTAGAGATAAAGTGTACATTTTTCGGAGGGTCTGAAGAGATAAGGCATTCTGTAATGGCCACATTAAAATGTTTTTTACATATCTTGGTCAGTCATTATCAACGTAGAGCCTGGAATGATTATATGTTGACCCTAGTTTCCATACCAAACTAGCATGACGACAAGATCAATAACAAGTGAGATGGAAATAAATTAGTAGCAAGAAAAGTTAGAAAGACTCAGCACTGAAAATATGGTTTAAAAGACTGAGTGTAAAGGTAAGTATATATGCAAGAATAATGAAACTAAATATCGAAAGGAAGACAATGGGTGGATATTGTAAGCCATATCACTCATTTGTCCAACGACTAATCGCAGTTATAACTCTAACCTCAATCATATAGTCTGCATTTACCAGCATTCCTCAGATTATCAATCAATAACTTCATAAACTGATTCCATGTCTTCGTTTGACCTCAGATATTTTTGGTTCAGTTTTAGTCAGCTGCTTAATTACATTGTTTCTTAAAGCTAATAAAACTAATCGCTCTGAATCGGATCTTAAATTAACAGATACTCTAGTTTTATATTATATTTTTTTATTACTTCATTCTACTTCCAAAAATCGGTGCTACAAACTAGTGAGCATTAAACAATAAAAGCACCCACTATAGGTCACTTAGAACGATAAAATTGCTCTACTTCATTTATGATAATATAAATGGATATTGAAGAAGTGCCTTGTTAATTAAAACACTGGAGATCGTAGCTACAAACACTGATTTATCAACCTTTGTTTTGACATCACGTGACTAACTAACAGCACTTACTTATCACAAACACAGTGTTTCTCAAGTGAATTACCTCTAAAAATCCAAGTATATCCTACTGAAAACTGATTCACTAGACATATGTATATATTAGCGAGCAACATTGTCCAATTTAAAATTAATCTCACTTAATCTTTTGACCATAATAACATTAGTCAATAAATACTAAAGTTACGTGATGGTAAGTGTGCCAATAAACAAAAATGTTAAGCAGCAACACGCTCATAAGAACATAAAAATAATAAACTTATTCAACTGACTATAATCAATAAAAGTTACTTCATACAGAAAGAAAAAAAACTGTGTCAGTAATTTGAGTTTAATTACGCAAATAGTAAAGAAAAGACGCATAAAGATGAAAATTTGGTCATGAATAGAACAGATTATATTAATAAAACTTTTGAACATCTCTCTACAGGACTATATGAAAAGATCAACCCAATAAATTCTCAAACGATTAAAAATAAAGTCAAATCAGAAACAAGTGAACTTTTAAAAGAGCTAAAACCAATAATTGGGACCTTGCTTTGGTTTGCTCTCTATCCCAAATCATGTAATACTTCACGGTTTTATGGTTTACCTAAAATTCATGGACCAGATATCCTTCTAAGACCGATAGTAGACTTTACCAACACACCGACATACGCTTTATCGAAATATATAAGCAGCATATTAAATCTACTACAGCTTAACTTACATAATATGATTAAATATACATATGACTTTAAATCAAAATTATTGGAATTAATTATCGAGAAGAATGAAGTCGTGGTAGGCTTTGATGTCGTCTCCTTATACACTAGTATTCCTACTAATAAATGCTTAGAATTCATTAGTGGTTTACTAGAGAAAGACAATACTCTTTCTGACAGATGTCCTTTAAGCATCAGTCTAATCATGAGACCCTTAAAAATCTGCTTGAATTCGATTCTATTCACTTTTAACGGAATGTTATACAAACTAATGGTGTAGTAATGCGATCCTCCGTGTCCCCCACTGTGGCCAACCTTTTCATGGCGCACATACAGTCAAATATTTTCACCAACGTCATTAAACCACAAATTTGGCTTAGATATGTAGATGATACATTTGTAGTGATAAAAAAGACTCATCTAAGATCGTTGTCAAAACGAATAAATACACTTTTATCTAACATCAAATTCACGAATGAAAATGAACATGTTGAGCTACCTTTCTTAGATTGCTTAGTGAGAAGAAATGTCAATGGAATTCTAAATCTGTCCATCTACCGAAAGCCCACACACTCTAATTGCTGTATTGACTTCCATCCAGCACATCCTTTCAGTGGTAAGATCTCGTTAGCCTTAAATCTTTATAGAAGAGTCAACAAGATCATCACTTTAGAAGAGGACAAGCAAAAGAATGTAATTAGTATCCGTCAATTTAATAATTTTCCTATGAAGATTATTAGAAGTATATTAAAATAAGACAGTTCAGTACGAAATAATAATAATCCGAATGAAATGCCATGGATTGGTACTGCAGTTTTACCATACCGTCATGGCACAACAGAAGAACTCCAAAGGATCTAAAAACAACACAGAATTGAAGTATATTACAAAACAACGAACACACTTCGAAGTACTTTAGTTTGATTAAAAGAAAAAAATCCCATTCATGTCTACACAGAACTGCGTCTACAAATTAGGCTGTGTCGATTGTGATGCCTTCTATATTGAAGAGTCATCTCGCGAAAACTTGACTCGTCCCAAAGAACATATTAGGTATACAAAAAAACCTAGTAATCCTGTAGAACAAGATAGACTTCAAATTAAATCGGCAATAGCAGTTCACGCCATTTTCAACAATCATCAAATCATTAATTCCTTGAAAAAGCTTGGACCGAATTGCCAGGCAAAACGTTGGATTTACTCCCAATTCATTCGCTGAGATTTTACAAATATATTCCTATTTAAATCATCAAATGAATTTCAAAAATATCAAAATATTACAAAAAGGTTTTTCCAATTACAAAGAAAGGAGAGTAGCTAGCGCTTTCCATATAGTGCTCAATCCTACTGCTCTCAATAGAAAGGCCTTACCATACATCCTACTTGGACTATCTATCCTTGTCACCTAGTCTGATATTATTTACAATTCACACCATTATCTTACAGATTAAACTCTATCCTTTGTCATTATAAAGTCACACATTTTTCATCCTTAACAGTGCACACACACACAAATCTACGTACCTATCGCAAATGAATCGCCTTGACTGAAACGACATGAGATTGATTTATTCAGACCTGTTTTTATATTGATCGCACCTAAAATTCATGTTGTTCCGTTGTACTATTTTAACTTGGTTATTTATTCTCTGAAGAAGTGGCTTACACTGAGTCACGAAACCTCATAAAATCTAATCTTTCTACGGACTGGGATATTACAAATATATTATTTATTGATAAAAACCTACCCAATGCTCAATTCATTCAAAATTATCAAATCAAAACTTGGCAATGATACCTAGAGAATTTGTTAAGTTTATTTACTTAATATTTCCTAATCAATAAGAATATGAAGGTATATTGAAAACTTCTTTGGAATTCTTGAGACTAAGGTTTTTGCTTTTACTTGAATCGTTATAGACTTTGATATGTAAGAGATGAGCTTGAACTCTAATGAAAAGGTTTGATGGAACACGATTAATTAACTTTGAAACATTCAGTATCTCATCTCTGTGGTTAATTGTACGTGTGAATTTTCGTAATGCAAAGTTTTTTATGTAGTTAATAATATGTACCATACCATACCATTTGTTTTCTGTTTACAGAGCCGGTTATGGAATAGTCAAACGACCAAGAGATTTTTCTACTTTTTTATTGTCAATATTTATGATCAATTTATTGATGTACACATTTTTCTATGCGATTATGAAAGTAAGCAATTAATTGTGAAATCAAATTTTCAAAAAATGGCATTTTTTTTTCAAACGAAATTTACGTTTATTTTCCATCACATATCGACTGTTTGTATACTGTGACTGTTGGACGACCGTCTTTAGCTCATTTGGTTCCAATTTAAAATATGTTTTATGGTGGAATATACTTTGGAATGGTGGCGAAGATTTGTAGTTCAGGTGGAGTTTTGTTCTCTGAGCTCAGAGAACACTAAAATACCTTAGAATTCACAAGTAGTTTGGGTTTAACGGTGCGACTTCCATTGTATAACGAATAGGCATAAGCTTCAAGCATTTGTTTTTTAAATGTCTTTTTTCATTCAATACCTTTCCAATAATTTTTAAATCATGATTCCAAGTGTTATCATATCTGCTTTTACTCAATTCTTTTACCATTCATTTTATTAGTCTCATCTCTTTTTCCTGATGCGATGTGACAACTTAAGTTGATACATATTGTTCTCAGGTTCTTTGCTGATATTGACTGGACTGGTCTGTTAACGTGAAATATCTACTAGATACATCTTTTAAATCCAGTTTGTTGCTCTAAACCATTTAGTCGAATGGATTGGTTACTCACAAACAAACATAAGGTAGAACTTACAATCTATTCTCCATAGGTTTTCCCAATAATGATGTTACCTCAAATTCTGGGATTCTAAATTCCTCATAAATTTTTTTGCTTTTCTTTATTTCGTTAATTTATAGTTTCTTTTTGAGTCGTATCTTCAATGTCTAATCTTTCCTGTCACCACTGATATTGTTACTACCTCTTCTATTCTGGACTTGGGCCTGACAACTTCATCACTCTATGCTAATGGGGGTATGGCAACTTCAACCGATCTACATACATAGAGGTTCTACGTTGTGACTGACTGAGTGTGATGTACCTTTATGAACTACTAGTTTGACGTCTGTTACTGTTAATTTTGATAGTATTCAGCCTTTAATGAATAACAGATTTACGGGTATCGAGAGGCATGTCAACATACTCTATCATTATGCACGAAAAAATCTCGCGAATTCATTCTAGTATGTTTAGGTTTCTTTTTTGTATGTTGAGTATATCTCCGTCATTAGCCCCCAAATGCCCTGGTACGGCCGAGAGTGGGGAGAGTCTACTCTCCCTCTCGAAATGCTCTCATATGGCCAGCGAATATATAGCCTCTGTCAGGGAAGTCCTACTCACTGCCTTCTCGTGGCGGGGGTGTTGTTTACGAAAGTGAGAGGACGAAAAGCGAATGTCCGGCGCTATAACCGGATTGGTGGACACGGAGGGTCCACCTAGGGGAGTTGGAAAACCCTGATTCCAAACCAATGGTGCACATGGGCTCCAGTATCCTGATGGAACGAATGGCGGAAGAACCTGTCATTGGTCAACGGGTACCATGGGACTGCATCTCCTCACGATGCTCTACTGCCTTGTGGATCAGACCTTTAGGTCAAAGGCTCGGGGTGTGGTCCCCTAAGAAAACCACCTGCTTCGGTTTGGGCACCCGGGCAGTATCACAGCCCACACACAAATGAATGAAATGATGAACTCTGTTGACGATTCTATTCCTGCTCATATTATAACCAAGACAATTTACATTATTATTATTATTATTATTATTATTATTATTATTATTATTGTTATTATTACTTACCATATCGCTAATTCACCCCCTTTTATCCCCAATTTGTGTAACCTTACTCTTCAACTTATGCAGCAGCTCGCTCTTGGTGGAAAATCTGTCCTATCTAAACGATCTCCAGTCACTGTCTGGTTGAAAGTGAATGCTTCCACCGATTATGAATACTGAGGCAGTCTTTCTGAAACCACGTACGCCGTTCAAGCTGGCTTCCTTCAACGTTCGCACACTAATGCAGATCAGACAACAGATAGGGCTGGCTATGTCTTTGGAAGGTCTTAATGTTGACGTTTGTTGTCTATCCGAGACCCGTATTCAAGACTCTAGTGAAGTACTACAAATCCGCTCTCCATCTGTCGCCTCGAAAAGCTTGTTCCACGTGCGCTTATCCGGGGACCCTGTGGCATCTTCGTCTGGTCTTGCTGGCGTTGGCGTCGCACCAGGCGCTAGGGCTGAGGTAGCACTAATCGATTGGATCCCCATTAACAGTCGGTTATGTGCTGTTAGATTAGAAAGTTCCATCAAAGTGAGAAGAAACCGGCGTGAGAAACGGTGTCTTTTCGTCATCTCCGCCTATGCTCCAACAGATTTCAGCCCGGATGCAATCAAGGATGAGTTTTACCATCAGTTAACAGTTCTTCTCCAGAAAGCGCGTTCGACAGATATTGTAGTACTAGCCGGAGACTTGAATGCACAGGTATAGAAGAGAGTCGTCTAGGTGGCCGATGGGGACTTGTTGGTCGCAGGACAGATAACGGGGACCGTTTGCTGCAACTGTGCACAGACCACAACCTGTTTCTGGCCAGCACCAACTTCCGGCACAGTCATCGTCGGTGTGCCACCTGGCGTCCTCCCTCTGCATCCCAAGCCTGGACTCAGATTGATCACATCGCGATCAGCTACCGCTGGCGTGGTTGTGTACAAGACTGCCGCTCCTTTTGGAGTACCTATCTGGAGTCTGATCATGCCCTGGTCTGCGCCAATCTCACCTTACTTTTTAGTGGCCGAAGGATTGACCACCACCAACGGATTGATGTTAGTAAAGTGGCTGCAACTTCTGTTGCAAGTAAGTATCGAGCGGAGCTAGCCTCTAGGCTAGCTACCATCCCACCGAAAAGTATAGATGAGCATTGGTTGCATCTTCACGACGCCATGAAAACGGCGAGTAAAGCCGCTTGCGGCTTCGCGAAACGTCCCGCTTACAAGCACTGGGTTTCTTCTGGCTCCTTACAACTGATGGAAGCCCGTCGGTCTACTCCGGGTGACCGTGAGTTTGACCACAAACGAAGGCTGTTACGTAATGAAATTGGGCAAAGCTTGCGTAAGGACCGAGAAGCCTGGTGGTCGGAGCGTGCTAATGAGATGGAAGCAGCAGCTGCATCTGGTAACTGCCAGAAGCTCTTCCAACTCATCCGAGCCACTGGCAGCAAGAAGTCTGGTGTGAGTGAAACAATCTACGAGGATGATGGGATGCCAATCACTAACATCTCCCGACGTCTTGGACGATGGGCGGAATTTTTCGAAGGGCAGTTCAACTGGCCTGCTGCTCCGGCAACATCAACCAGCTTGTCCTGCCCCATGGCCGGTGACGACTGATCCACCAAACGAGGCGGAAGTCCGCAAGGAACTCCAACTCTTGAAACGTTACAAATCACCGGGCCCAGATGACTTACCTCCGGCTCTTTTTAAAGATGGTGGCGACTTTCTGACTAAGGAATTGACTGTGTTGTTTGGAAAGGTTTGGGAGCAAGAAAGTGTTCCAACATCATGGAATGAGTCAATAGTCGTCCCTATCTTTAAAAAGGGTTCACGTTGTTCATGTAACAACTATCGGGGGATAAGTCTACTTCCGATTGCGTCCAAACTATTGGCTTCTATCATTCTTCGTAGGTTGTTTAAAACCCGAGAACGATTGACTCGCGAGGAGCAGGCTGGTTTCCGTTCTGGTCGAGGATGCATTGATCACATCTTCACCCTCCGCCAAATGTTAGAACACCGTCATACTTATCGCAGGCCAACAATCGTAGTGTTTCTTGATATCAGGGCTGCCTTCGATTCGTTGGACAGGACTGTTCTCTGGGATTGTCTATTGAAGAAGGTTGTGCCTGAGAAGTTCATTAACATCTTAAAGGCCCTGTACACGAACATCTCAGGCAGAGTGAGGTCAGTCAGTCAGTCAGCTACAACGTAGGACCAGGCACATATATGCATCGGTCCAAGTTGCCATACCTCTTTAGCACAGCAAGATGAACACCGGATTCATAGAAGCAATTAATTTAGTGGTGGTAGTATATAAAGAAAGATTGTATAGAAAGATATAGTACAGGAAGGAAGAGAGATATGAAGCTATTTTAGTCTCAAGGTTTAAGGGAAGATAAAGAGTGTATACACCTACGCCATTGTGATCGATTCTGAGCCATGTCACCTAGAGTCTCCAACCATTTATTACGATAGTCACGCGGACCCCAACCAGGTAGTCTGCATCTGCCAACATGGCTCAGGCTAGAAGTTAGTGACTTCAAACACTGATTCCAACCGTCCCCAATACTAGTCATCATAGCGCGTCGTGGTAATCGGTGTTCAGGCATACGTAACACATGGCCCAACCATCTCAGTCGATGAAGATTTATCACCTCATCAACTGATTTACCATCGTTACCTAATACCCTGCGTCTAACCTCACTATTACTTACTCGGTGATCCCAGCAGATGCGAGCAATATTTCTAAGGCATCTGTGGTCAAATACTAGTAACCTACGAGTATCTTCTACTCTTAATGGCCATGTTTCGCAGCCGTAAAGTAGAACAGAGCGAACTGCTGCGCAGTATACTCGTCCCTTAATTGATAGACGGATATCTCGTCTTCGCCATAGGTGACGTAAGTTGGCAAAAGCCAAACGAGCTTTTTGAATCCGTGCTGAGATTTCGTCAGACACCAACCCATTAGGGCTGATCAGAGTGAGGGCATACAACCACCTTTCTCCCTTGTTCCATTCGAGCAGTGGGGTTAGGCAGGGTTGCCCGATCTCACCATTACTCTTCAACTTTGCCATCGACGACATCCTAGAAACAGCTCTGGTGGATGTAAGTGATGGCGGTGTGGATATGTTGCCTGGAGAACGACTTCTCGACCTTGAGTATGCGGATGATATTGTCTTACTGTGCGATAATGCCCAAGGCATGCAATCAGCACTTAATCAGTTGGCAATCAGTGTCCGCAGGTACGGCATGTTCTTTGCACCCTCCAAGTGCAAAGTACTCCTACAAGACTGGCAGGATTCTAATCCTGTACTCACCCTGGATGGTGAGCAGATCGAAGTAGTTGAGAAGTTCGTGTATCTAGGTAGCT